CTTACCTTGGACTCACAACTCCTGCTCAAGCAGCAGGTGATAACGGTGGCCAGATTTTGTAACTTGTGTGCTATTGGCATCCCTTCCTAGATTGAGACACCCTGCTGTGGTTGTTCCTTTGTGTGGCTCAGTGTCAGAGTTCCAGCAAACCTCCATTCCAATCAGTAACTTTGAGACAACCATATCTCAAAAGTACCTTTATCAGAATAGCACCTGGCACATCTGTGGAATCCCAAATCTAAACATTTTTCGGGCTTCCCACGATTTCCCAAACTACAAATCCATCCCCTCCTTGGCCATCATCACATCACATGGCCCAATCACGATCCGTCCAAAAGAAAGACCCTTATTTCATCCTGCGCCATACTTAATGACCTTGAACTAACCATTTTTTTTTAATTTTGTCTACTTAGAGCTACTTAATTGAAATCAACCCCCTCCCACTTTCTCAGGCTATGTGGCAGCGTGGAATATGGCTTCCAAAGCTGGCACTCAGCATTAAAAATAATAATTACAATTCTTCCATGGTTGCTTTCATTTTGTTGATTTATTGTTAGATGGAATTGTATTTCTGTCCTGTCTCACGCTGGAACAAACGAATCTTTTAGTTTCTCTAGGACAGGTTTTAAGTTTACTCATTCTTGACTTTCTCCTACAGCAGGGGTGTCAAACTCAAGGCTCAAGGGCCCCGGCCTGGAAAGAGCAAAGGACCAGCATCCAAGAAGGGACAGGAAAGGAGGAAATGGAAAGACAAAGAAGGGAAGAAAGCAAGGAAGGAAAAAGAAGGAAAGAGGGGAAGGGAGAAGAAAGAAGGAAAAGTAAAAAGGAAGGAAGATTATGAGAGGGAGGGAGGGTCCCAGAGAAGTTCTGCCTTAGCACTTGGCCACCACAGGTGCCCCCAAATAAGTGACGTTGACCTGGCCACGCCCACACCTAGCCATGCCCACCTGACTCTCTGAGGTCAATTGTTCCTTAATACTGTATGTTCTTATAACATAGCTCCTTAATATGTTCTGATAAGCACCATCCTCGTATTGACAGAAAAGAACATGAAAAGCATAGTTTAGAAGGAAATTATTAATGGCCAATTTAGCAGTACATAATGTGCTTATTTATCATTGCTGCTATATAATGATTTGAATCATGCAAACCAACTAGCCTTACAAGTTTATAGAGACATATTTTAATTAAAAATGGATATACGTGTCACCGTCTGATAAGCTTTCATGATGTATTGGAATGCATGTCATGTTTCAGATCTGTTGGCTACACCATGGAAATAAATTCCAAAGACACTGTTATATATTTAAGATGCAGATACTGTAAACATCAGAGTAGATTTAATGGCAAGGTTTATTTTACTTTTTTTAACAATTAGAAGACAAAACAATTAAAATTTGCAGTTCAGAACATGCACATTCACCAAATGCCAATGACATGTAACACTGCATAGAAGTGAATATATTATTAAAATTTAATAACATTATAAAACAGTGCATTTAACATCCATTTAAAACGAAACCTGAGAAAACTACCATAAACACGGAGTCAAAAAATTTCTCTCCATTCATGCAGCATCACAATTTCCACAGGAGTTTCAGCAGTAATGATTTAGAGAGTGGAAAAATCCTAGCTTACCTCGATTGCAGTCCTAAGTGTTATATATATATATATAGTCCCTATTTTTTTTAAATCAACACTTCATGAAAATCGCAGCAGAGAACGAAGTTAATGTATTATGGCTTTAAATTGTAGAACAGGTAAAACAACAACACTGAAACATGATTTTTTTTGTTTTTTGTTTTAGCTTTTACACATCTGGGCCACGGTTTTTGCAATTACAAACTTTTAAATGGCTGCAAATCTTTGTTGAAACAACTGAAAAAGCAAGTAGATACATCACTTTCTATTTTCACCGTAATTCATCGACTAATTCAATCAGTTTCATGGGTCTATTTTAGAATAATTTCACCGTGCAGTTGCTTTTGAGTTGACATTCTATGCTAACAAAATGAAGTCGGCAATCTAGCTGTTTACCAACACTTCACTTTTGCTTACCAAACATATAAACTTTGATGCCTCTTTCGGCTAACAAAGAAATAATGAGTTTTACAGCACAAGCATGCATCAGTTCAGATTCACACTGTGACATGCAGACAGATTACTAAAACTTAATTGAAACAATTGCTTTCCCACAACATAGAAACTCAGTAGGGGGAAAAAATAGATCCTATGGTCCAATTGTCAAGCAAGTAAGCAATTTAACATTAATTGATTTTAAACCAAGATGTCTTCCCATTTGAGATTGTATTATGTTTTTTGAAACTTTTCCTCTATTGTTATACAACTATTATATATTTTATTAAAACTTATTTTTGTAAGTCTAACCTAAGAAAACAGGACTACGTATGGCTTCACAAAGTATATCCAATTGGTTGATTTTTCTGGTTAAATAGTACCACATTGTTACAATCATTTAATTAAAAATAATATACAGTTACAGACATTCTTTTGATTTCTGAATGGTACCAGATACTTTCAATGATGATTTCTTTTAAACCTTAACATAAATATTCCACAATACATAATATACACATAATGTACAATTTCCTTAATTTAGGCAACAAAGAAAAGTGTAAAATTTTTTATCACTTTGAACAAAATGTCAAAAATGGAAAATGCAAAAAACAAAACAAAGCCATAGCTGAATAAAATATGCACATCAACCAACATCCCTAAATATACATTATGTTATAATATATATTTCTACATTATAGTGTAATGAATCACTATTAAAGATTTTCTTTCAAATGAAAAGTACAGGCTTGCAAATTAGATATGCTCTGTACATCCTGACTTGTTCCAACAATTCTAGTTTACGTGGGTTTAGCTTCTTAGAAATCTGAAAAAATGTCATTTGTCTTTAAATCCAATCTATACCCTTAAAGACAGCACAGGACAGACAATCCTCTTATTCACTTTATAAAGCGCACCCTTGAAACATAAGTTTCTGTTAAGCCAATATCGCATCGCACGTGTGAAAAAGTTTTCCTAGGTAGTTAGGAAATGGGGGAACATGGGAAAAAAAACAACCGGAAGCCTGGGATCTTGGAAGAGCACGGCATGTTTAAAAGAAGAAGGAAAAAGATATGTAATCAGTGGCAGTGGATGTGGTCTACCATTTTGGTAAGGGCTGGGCAGTTGGGGAAGATTTCGTTTCCTGAATACATGAGATTTATGCCTTCATCGGGATTCACCCAAGGAGATGAGAGAAGACGGCTGGAGAAACACATCTTTGCATGCAGATCATTACTCTAGGTCAACTGCATGCAAGACAGTCCTTTCATGCTGTTGGGAATGGAATGGTTAAATCAACTGATATATCGTATTATGTGTATGTTGCCACTGCGGGCTGATCTAAATATTCCCTCTGTCAAGAGTCCATAAGAGCTTGGCAACTCTGAAGACTTGTAGACTTCCAACTCCCAGAATTCCCCAAGGCTGGGGTCCACAAAGGCTTAAGATGCTGAGAAGGCTGAACACCACTGCATCAGACTGTAAGCAACCAATGGGAAGCTATTCAGTCTTTGCTCGATTATTATCTGATTTTATTTATTTTTTTGAGCCTAATATACACGGCTAAAAACTGTACTGTAAGCATGCTACAGTATTTTTTTTAAATTAAATAATTTGCTTCAGGAATCTTTTGTGGTGGACAAGCCACAATTAATCAATGTAAAGCAATAATTCAGGGTTTGGTTTTGTTTGTTTTTAAAAGATACTTTTAATTTTGTGTATATTTGATAATGTGAATGTGTGGGTGTTTGTGTGCACTGCAGGTCAATTTATTTGGCTCTCATTGATGTATTAATCACCCATGCCAGAAATAACTTTCCTGAAGGCAATTTCAGGCTGTAAGATTGAAAGTCCTTTTTAGTAACAGGCTTTAATGATTATTGGTTTATTTTCTGCTTAGCCAGAGAAAGAGTACTTTATACTATGAGCGCAATTATGAAGTAAGTATAAAAGACTGTATACTTAAATCATATATATATATTTCATAAATATATGCAATATTTAATAGTGTTTCTATTACACAGTCGTTTTTAAAAATGGACTTAAGAATAGAAACGTGACCCAGAAATACTGAATTTATCATAACTTTTCTGCACATGTTACAGAAATTAGACATGGAACTGTCTATATCAAATATATTATAGATAAACTGAAATGGCTATTAACACGCAGAGTGGAAAAATGACTGCAATTTAATAGGCTTTCTCATTCTGATTTTACAAAATGACAAGATTTAAAAACATTTACTCAAAACATTTCAGTTAATGAGAAGGGAAAGTTTACATTACTAGCTAGAAAATCTTTTTATTTAAACAAGTTTTTAAATAAAATCTTTTTATTTAAACATTTAAACAAGTTTAAATCCTCAAACCTCTGCATACTTTAATTTGAATCAAATTTGGGGATGTAAAACAGAATCTATTAAGTACCCCAAATAAATTGTTTTGATAGTGCAAACTGAATGTATAATATAGTAGTAAACTGATAATATTGATTTCTTTTTCCAGATTATCGTGACCAACAAGGTAAATTATTTTATAGTAAATTATTTTATATATAAAATGCTCTGTAAATAAAATCTGTATTTTCAAGTGCACCTCCACCTCAATCCACTAAAGACAATCACTTTCTGACTTCTGTAAATATTACAAAATTATGCATTGGCTTTTCTTTATAGGGCCTATACATCTGTAACCATAGTGGGGTGGTTGCAATGCACCATGGTCTTGAATTACATCTGAACAGTCACTAATCCAGTTGGCTTTTTCTTGGCTGACAGTGTTCTTGCCTGCTTGGGAAACAGGAAACTTAGTTAAGGCACCATCTCTGTCTCTTTGCCAATCCCAACAAGCTACCATTGCTTTTCTTTTAGAAATGAAAGAAAATTCTCGATGATATGCACGGGGAGGCTGGCAAAGGAACACCTGAACCTCGCACACAAATGTTACCACACCGGGACCCTTAAGCAGGCTAACAAGTCTCAAAGACACACACACACTCCTGACAAGAGGAAAAAATGAATGCTGTGCTGAATGTACACCTTCTGTGAAAAAGAGCATGGACGCAAAAAGAAAGGCTTCTGTAAGGCCAAAGGTGAAAGGAACCACAGATCTGAAATCAAACGCATCAAAACCAAACCCTACCAGTTTTCGTATTATTGTAAAACTTTTCAAGTACAGAGTATCAAACATGCAATTTCTGATGCCGGACAACTATCGCTAATCACTTAAGGTTCTACAAATGAGGACTAGGAGGAGACATGTGGAATTTCTTTGGCAAAACGAGCTCATTTAAACCCAATTCCTTCTTAGTATCTTGCTTTTGCGGTCTTTCTTCTGTCACATGAATTAAGGTAATTAAAATGGTTCTTTAGCACTTGTGGAAATCAAAGGCTCATTATATTTAATTTCACCATGTATAACACCTTGGCAAAGGCTCTGCTTCTCAATCTATAGTACATGCTGAGCAACCTGGTTGTTCACAATATTGAATATTTCTCTCTCTCTCTCTGTCTACACACAGGAACAGTACTCATCTTTACTGTAAATTAGCTGTTTGAAAAGGCTGCAGGTTAATTCTCGGCATCTGTTTACAAAAATCTAAGCCCCTTTTGAAAATTTTGTGGGATGGTGTTTTATGGAGTATAGTTGCACAGTGCTTATGTCTACTCAATACGCGCGAACTTCAAGAAACATGAGTGAACAACCTACAAGGGCCCCTAATCTTGTTACTCAACCATGTTGGCAGACGCAGGAAATATGCATTAATTTGACTGGATATGGCAAATACTGGAACTCTGGTGACTTCGGTCCTTCACCATTCGTCGGTGCTTCTCTGTTTCGTTGTGTCATAGGCTCGTATTACCTCCGACTGCGAAACGATTCCATTTTCATCTTGCGAGAAAGCGTATCCATCTGGAAGTGAAGAGAGTTGGGTTGACACCAGAAACAAGTGGGGATCGCTCTCTAACCCTCTTTAAGCTTTTTGAAAGCATTGCGGAAACAAAAGAACAGGCAGTCCTCGACCTGCAACGGTTCATACAGTGACTGTGCATTTCTTGCATTTTCCGGGGCGGCTAGCTGTCAGGATTCTGACAGTTACCCCCATTTAAATCATGAGTCTCGAGCCAAACTTCCAAAGGATTTATTGGGAGTTAACATGTCTGGCACTGCCTCGGTGCAGCCAACTCTGAGGCATAGAATTGCTTGTCACCCTTGACCCTGGTTCTCCCCCACCCCCTGGGTGTATCCTAATTCATATTCTCCAATGGGACACATCCATAGCCAAGAGACATCAATCCAGTTAGATATTTGCCCGGCAGAAGCTTCAGTTTCTGCCAGGAAATAAAGGGAGGAAAAAAGAAAAGAAAAATATGAAATGGTTATATGAACATCTTTGGAATAAATATAAGATATAATGTAGATTGGGGGGGGAATATACCATGTGGATCCTAAATAGATTAGTTTCATTTGATTTTTACTCTTTTTCGATTGTATATTATATATCAGTCTAAAGAAAGCTAAGAATGATGATGTATAATGTAAAATAAAATAGGTGGTAAGCTGAAAATAATAGGGGATAAAGAATTGAAAATATATGTGTGGATGAAATGATATTGATATTGAACTAATGAATTGAAATATGAAATGGAAATTTATCTAAAGATTAGTGGAATGGATATTGACTTGAGGTGATGTTAAACAAGATAGATGGAAATGTAATTATGATTATGCATAAATGTTATAATTTGGAACCATGTTGCTCATGTGAAGAGATGTGCAAAAAATAAAAAACTTTTATTAAAAAAAAAAGAAACTTCAGTGACCTAGTTACTATCTTTGAAAAACTATGTATCGAATGCACTTTCAGTTTCCAAGCTGCTGCACTGCTTTCCCCTCCCTTTCTGTTGGCAACTCTATAAAGACCATAGAAATATTTTATGAGTTGACAGGCACTGGGGAAAAAAAAACCTGATTTGTGACTACTTATGACTGTTGCAGCATCCTCATGGTTGTGGGATCAAAATTCAGACGCTTGGCAACTGGCTCACATTTATGACCGCTGCCAGGGTCATATGATCCCCTCTTATGAAAAGCAAAGTCAACGGGGAAGCCAGATTCACTTAGCACCTGTGTTGCTAACTCAACGACCGACTCACTTAACAATTATGGCAAAAAAAATAGCAATAGCGTTTGGACTTATATCCTGCTTCACAGTGCTTTTTCAGCCCTCTCTGAGCGGGTTTAAAGAGTCACCATCTTGCCCCCAACAATCTGGGTCCTTGTTTTATCAAGCTCGGCAGGATGGAAAGCTGAGTCAACCTTGAGCTGGTCAGGATCGAACTGCTGGTTGTGGGCAGAGTTAGCCTGCAATGCTGCATTCTAACCAGTGGGAAGGAAAGAAGGAACTACTGTAGCAATAGCCTTTAGAGTGATATACTGCTTTCACAGTGCTTTCCATCCCTCTCTAAGCGGTTTACAGAGTCAGCCTCTTGCCCCCAGCAATTTTGGTTCCTCCTTTTACTGACCTCGGAAGGATGGAAGGCTGCGTCAATCTTGAGCCTGGTGAGAATCAAACTGCCAAATTGCTGGCAATCAGCAGTCGGTAGAATTAGCCTGCAGTACTGCATTCTAATCACTGCACCACCACGGCTCTGAGAAGTTGTAAGATGGGGCAAAACTCACTTAATAACTGTCTTGCTTTTGCGACGGAAATGTTGGGTTCAATTGTGATTGTAAGTCAAGGACTACCTGCCCCAAGAAACATTTTGTTCAGGCTAACCTTAGGGACTCACACAGAAAAAGGAAAGGGTAGCAGATTTGGCGAGCCATTAGTACAGAGTTTCCAAACAGTACTCCAAAGAACATTTATCGTTGATGTGACACGATTAAAACAAGTCTGATTCAAGTTTTGATCCTTTTAAATACCAAATTCCAAGAAGGAATTAAAGTGCCAGGACATTTGACCCACTTTAGATCTGATCTAGTCCAAAATGAGTTCTCTAGGCTATCACCAGAGCACTCAAACTGCTCATGAAGGTCAAAATATTTTATTTATTAATTGATTAAATTTATATGTGGGTCATTTCACTGTCACAGTGATTCTGGATGGCTTACAGAATAATAAAAAGTAAAAAAAGTGAATTTTAAAATGAGAGAAATAGGAAATCAAAATCCAATAGGGCCAGCGACATGGGATAGGGAATCTACTCTCTACCCCATCAGCCACTCCCAGGACAAGATTTGGAACACCAGGAGTATGGGGGACGACCTCACCTCCGGCAGGAAAATATTCCAAAGAGATGCTCTGAATCCATGTGAGACAGGTGAAGGTGAGAAGAAGTGAAAGATTTCACAAGAGATTCTTTTGTTGAAGGCAAGGCACGTCTCATTTTTTTTTTAAATTTACCCTTTATTCTCTTTTATGTAATTAATCCCTTAATGTTATAATCATAGATTGGGAAATTAATTTTCTTTAAAAATTGAATTTTTGAAAATTTCATTTGCTTATTTGTTTGAAATATTTGCCGTTTGCTCCCCCCCCCCCCACTTTCTAAACCTTCAACCCAGCTGAAAATCAGTTACAGGGCAGCAGGCAGATGAAACTTTAGAATAATATGTGAGCTAATTCAGTGATCCCCAACCTTTTTTATGCCGCGGCCCGGTACCGGCATCAGCTGGGCGCCGCCATCTTTTTTTGATGAAAAAGTGCTTCCGGTGAGCTTTCTACCCGGAAAAGCTCACCGGAAGCACTTTTTCATCAAAAAAAGATGGCGGTGCCCAGCAAACCAGCGGCCCGGTAGGACTTGTTCCACGGACCGGTACCGGTCCACGGACCGGTGGTTGGGGACCCCTGAGCTAATTGACATGTCAGCATTTTTCTGATAAGGAGACTCTGCTGTTATTTCTGACCTTCAACTTTGTGTTGCTTTCTAGCACACCTCAAATACTTACGAAGCAGATTTTGTTGCAAAGATTCAGAGCGGTATAAGTTGACGTGGTTTTTCTTAAAGACGTTTTTCAATAGCTGAGCTCTTTCAGTTAAGCTAGGGGGAAAAAAAGAGACAAAATTTATGAAATGCACTAAAATTTGGGCAGGGTTAGGCCAGAAATCCAGACTGCAATAACAAATATTGAACAGAAGAGTGGAAATGAACAATGGCGGCAATCACACGTTCAACATTAATGTGTGACATATATAACATTAGCTATATACAGCTACTCAGGGGCTGCAAATGGAATTATTTATTGGCCACGTTACTTCAAGAGAAGTTTGTTCAGCTCCTACTGTCAAAGTCATTAGATTCATGTTACTACGGTAGTTCTGTATTTCACAACGATCAGGCTCTTAGTAAGTATTGTAACTGGAAAAATGGTTATTATTTTTGTTTACTTTATGCTTTAAATCAGTGGTCTACAACTCAATTTTAGCCTCAAAATTTAAGGCACCAAAAGCAAGCTTTTAGTATGTTCATACTAGGATGTAAATACATTTCTGGTCGATGATTTAACGGAATAAATCGAGCTTATTAGTGTTATCTTAAACATGTGAATGTTAGGACTTAATCAGCAAGGCCTGCAACTAATGATGGTCAGGTTGCTGTCATGGAGGTCATCCAGGAAGAAACTAGGGGGAGAAGTAATTTTGGATCTTTGGTGCCGATACATCCCCTTCATATCTTTTGCACCAAACTCCGTGTTATTGTCAAATTCGCAGGGATGGATTCCTGAATTCTCTGGATGAAGCTTGGGAATAGGGGCAGGGGGAGGATGCAAGCAACTCAAAATGGAGAAAGGGAAGTCAAACTTCATTGAGTGAGCAAGTCTCTTTGAAAATTGCTGGACTTAATAGGAATGAAACAAATTACATGATGGTGGGGGGGGGAATGCTGGAGGCTAAAACATACGATGAGCGGTTGCAGCAGCTGGGAATGTCTAATCTAACAAAGAGAAGGACTGGGGTGTGTGTGTCACATGATAGCATCTTCCAATATTTGAGGGGCTGCCTTGAAAAAGAGGGCATTGATTTTCTCTCTGAAGCACTTGAAAGCAGGACAAGAAGCAACGGGTGGGAGACCATTAAAGAGGGATCCAACCTAGAATTAAGGAGAGTTTTCCTGAGAGTGAGAACAATTAACCAGTGGAATGGCTCGCTTCCAGAAACTGTGGGTGCTCTATTACTGGTGGTTTTAAAGAAGAGACTGGACAGCCATTTGTCCAGAGTGGTGTAGGGGCCCTTGCTTGAGACTAGAACACCTCCAAGGTCCCTTCCAACTTTGTTATTCTGCATATCCAGCATGGCTTCAAGATTCTTCCACCCTTTAACAATAGTTTCGTTCTAGGCCTTCCCAATTTCTTCCCTCTTTTACATCACTCCATATACCTTATGATTCTTGACAAATGTATCTTTTCTGTTAAATATACTGAGAGCATTTACACCAAGACAAATTCCTTGTGTGTCCAATCACACTTGGCCAATAAAGAGTTCTATTCCATTCCATTCCATTCCGTTCCGTTCTTCATTCCATTATTCTATTCTGTTCTATTCTGTTCTGTTCTGTTCTATTCTATTTTCTACTATTCTATTCTGTTCTGTTCTGTTCTGTTCTATTCTATTCTTATTCTATTGAAAGTTGTAAAAAATAAAAAGAATAAAAATAAACACAGGTGAAACCCCCTAACTGCTGCAAGGTATTTTACTATACCTATACTGCGTTTGTAGTGTAGTTTGTAGTCTACCATCATCTTGTAAAAGGTTAGGAGGAGAGTTAAAGATATTAAAATGATTTTATTTAATTATAAACTATCACACCAGTAACATAAATTTGAATTATATGCTTATGAAATAATTACTGTTAAGTGCTCTGTAGCTACTTAGATATTATAGTTACTCTGTAACTATGTTATTATCATAATACATTATATCATAGTTACTCTGTAACTACACTGTTGTTACTGTAATTACTCGGGGAGAGGAAGCCAAGAGAAAAGGGAGAACACTACATGGAAATAATGGTAGGGAAGAAATAATAGTACGAGGAAAGAAAGACTTGATAAGTTTTACAAAAAAATTAAATTTGGGGGGTAAAGGGCTACCCCCAAGTTGAAGCTAATCTTCAGGCACACAATGCATCCTGTGTGCAGCCTTTTGAAGTCCCTTGTTTCCAACAGCTCCTTCTCTTCTGATTAGGGATTCAACTACTTCCCCTCCAGGCCCACTGACATATACATATCATAATTACCTATTAGTAGAAATAAGGTCCCTTAACTGGCTAGATACAATAAGGACAGGCAGGCTACAAGCTAATCCAAGTTGCTCTTAGCATGCTGAATTAGTTGCATCGTTAGTTAAAGTGGATATTGAATTAATTGGAAGAGAATGCTTAACTACGGCAATATTTGGTTCATTTTATGAGCAATATTAATTCAAGAACCTTTATGACTTTGGTTTTAGACTCCAAGCGATGAGGTCAAATCAGACCAAACACATAAATAGAATGCTAATATTCAAGGTTGGGGAAATTACTGATAATCATATTCTACCTTTTCCCATGCAGAATTGCTCCTGGATCTTGTGATTTTGCTTCCAACTCCTGAACTTCATCTACTAAGGTCTTAAATGCCGCCCTCTTCACTCTATAAAAGAATAATAAAAAAAAAAGTTAATTCATTTTAAAATTCTAAGTCCTTTATCTGTCTGCAAATATCAGTATAAAATTAAATGTAATCCAGTAACGTTAAATTCAGTCCCACAATAACATTATCTAATCTAAGAAAGAATATAAATTACACTAACAGAGCCCACAGAGAACTCAGATTATTCATTCATTTTTGAGATTAACCATTAGGAAACTGGGGAGTAATATTTTCCAAAGAAGCATTGTAGTCATACAGCTTTTAATATTTTATACTTTCATATAATAAAACTGTGACATATGATATATATGTTGTTCTCCTCTGAAGAGTAATCTCAACTGGAAGAACAATCTGCAAAAGTAGGTCATAATTTAGAAGACTAAGGAATCAATTCTCTATACATGTGTAAATCTAATTGGGCTTGTATTTAATTAGGAAGATACGCCAATAATTATACTGCATCATTAAATGCACTTACTTAGGAATACGTCCTGTTGAACTAATGGGATTTTGTCCTGAGTAGCTGTGAAGCCTGCACTGTAATTTTAGGTAATTAACAAATGGACAGATTAATTATTTGGTAGACCATATATTAATTAGATCATACTTACACTTTATATACTACATCAAATATCAGTGCTGTCACTGGAATACTAAATAAACCCATCCAGAAGACTCCAGAGCTGAACAACATCACCGCCTATATATAGATTATAAAAACAACAACACATGCAATGAAACATTTGCAATGAGGGTAAATAAAATATCTGTGGAAAGCTTAATCACCTATGTAGAAAAAAAAAATACCAATAGAAGGGAATATTTGTAGCTCAGGGTTGAACTGTGGGGTCCTTGGTGCTCTGTGAACTTGGTTGTTTTCTTGCAGACATTTCATTACCCAACTAGGGAACATATTCAGTGCTAGGAAGGGTTGGGGTTTGTGGAGAGGAGGAGGAGCAGAAGGGGGAGGACAAGCATGGGGTCCTTGGTGTTTTCTGAACTTGGTGGTTTTCTTGCAGACATTTCATAACCCACCTAGGTAGCATCATCTGTGCTAGAAGTGGTGTATGTGTGTGTGTGCATACACACACACACACACACAGCCAATCCCACTCCTTGCTACCACTGATGGTGTTACCTAGTTGGGTCATGAAACATCAGCAAGCTCAGACCGCACCAAGCCCCCCACAGTCCTCCTCTTCTCTGCAAACCCCACTCTCTTCTGGCATTGATGAAGTTACCTAACTGGGTCATGAAACGTCTGCAAAGAAAACAACCAAGCTCAGAGAGCCCCAGGGACCCCACAGCCTTCCTCCTCTTCCATTCTGCAAACCCCTTTTCTCTTCTGGCACAGAAGATGTTACCTGGTGCATACCCAGAATGCAGCAAGGACCCCACGTTAAAAAATGAGCTCCCAGCCATAAAAATGTATTTTATTTTCTCCAGGGATTCAGAAGTGAAGTAACTCTTCCTAGCTGCAGGAGAGTCTGTCTGTGACTGGGAGGATTGCCTGGAGAGGAAGACCATTGGCTGGTGGGGCGTGATTGTCCCAGAAGCAGAGGCAACACAGAAGGGCTTTATTTAGGTTTTAGCTAAAAGAAGACTTGCCTACTTTTGGAGGTATTTTTTTTCTCCTGAAAAAATTTACATGGCTCCTGGCCTTTAAAACTCAGTAGAAAATCTCTGTGCAATGGATTGTTTCACTGTCTGAATTGTTATTTTCTTCAGGATTGCCATTTTTAATAGAATCAATGGCCAGTGAGCTGTTTTAGAAACTAAAATAATAATTAAATGCTTTTTGGGGGGAAACAATAATCATTACATCCTTTTATGGTTGGATACCACTGCTTTGAAAAATGTTGGGCAGTAGGAGAAAATATGCTGAGTAAAATCTGTAAAATAGTTGCTGGTGAACTGGGGAGTTTTTCATTTACCTCTCATAATCCTTTATTCACTCTCCAGAGAAGCAGACGGATTGCCTGAAAGCACTATAATATTTGAAAACCCAATTAAGCCCTTCACTAAAAGTGGAGGTTTATGAATGAAATTTTCAAGATATTTTGAGCAATTTAAAAGCCCAGGGCTAATTAACACACCCTTGTGTTTCTTATTAGCTCCAGATGTACATATGGCCAGTGCAAATTTCAGGCCGCAGTGTGATAGTGTGGTACGAAGTACACACCAACTACACTCAAAACAAACGGATTTGGAAGTGAGGTTTTTTTTGGCATTGTATCTGTTCAAAATCATGGGAACAGATCATTTCCATGCGGGAGCTTTTAAACTCTTCTACTGAATAAGTGGGAGGTCTGCTAATCCCCTGGAGCTCCAGCTTGGGCCCCCCCAAAATCACTCCAGACAAGACAAGGGACCCTTTTTCCTATGGATCAGGGAACGATGAGGCAGGGGAGTGAAATCAGTGGCCCCTCTTGCGTAGCAGTGGTACAGTTTTGTGCTCGGAGAATGCATTTAAACCCAACTGAATGTCGGCTGGCCGTCAGCACCTTCGCCCTCCATCCAGTAACAACAGAGTAAATTATTTTGCCCAGATGTAAATTGTAATTTTTAAAAAAAGGGAAAAAAAAGAGCGGTGACGCAGTGGCTTTACAGGTGGAATGGAAACTATTCCCTGTAATTTAATCCTAGTATTATTGCGCACAGAGAAGCGAAGGAGGCTCATAGAATTAGATCCATAACAGGTGAAAGAAAAGAGGACGATTACTTTTCTAAGGGTGTTGCGTAAGTGCTGAAGAAGAAAGGCCGAGCTGACGTGTAGCAAGCCAAGCCAAAATGATAAATACGACTGATTTCTGAATTAAACATAAAGGCAAAAAAATAGCTGGGTTAGAGGGGATTTAAATAGAATTCCTTTCTTTCTTCCTTCCTTCCTTCCTTTCTTTCTTTTAAATGGTTCTTAATGACTTTTTAAAGTTAGGGAAACACCAAAGAGCTATCCCTTGTCTAAGCCCCCTTGTATTAAAAGTTGCTTGGTGAAAACAGCAGAATTGATAATGTAGGTCTCAGGATGTTAATTCGGAGCATTGTGATGCTAACGATGAACGAAGGAACAACGGGTGCCCACATTCACTCAATCCAGCCTTTGGCTTCACAAATGAGCAACCTGAATTGAAGGGGGAAGGAAAAACAAAACAACAAAACCCCAAACGTTTTTTCTGCATCATATTTGAAAGCCTGTCAGATTTTTGTCCCCCCCCCCCATCCCCTTTGCAGAGTTAATCCAAAACCTAAAAGATGTAAAGCTGACATTCACATTTAAAGACAGAAAGCTTCTTTGTATGTGCTTTGGGTGAAGAGAGAGAAACCCACAATCCCACAGAGGTATTTCCTTCCTTTCTGTTTGTGGGTGGGTGGGAGGTGGTGGGGTGAAAGCTCCCTCTGGGCTCAGCTCAGAACCATTTTTGTCTCTAACTTTTCACATCTCCTTGCCCATAGACGGGTCAGCTGGGAATAGAGCAAACGGATCCAGGAGAGACAATGGCCGCTAACAGGGACAGTCTGTTCTGGGGTTGGACTCCGTCTGCCTTTTCGCGATTTACAAATTCATCGGCCGGCCGCTGCCAAGTCTTCTGGCCCCGGCCCCCTTTCGGCCTTGGGAAATCAAACGCAACCTTGCTGAAAGAATAGCCTGGGTTCCCTGCCCTGCCACCCCAAACATGACGGAGAAATACCAATTGCCGGTGGGTCGGCCTCAGTTGAGCCGAAGGTCGTTAGAACCTGTTGGATGTTAATGGCGGAAAGGGTCCCTCTGAATTTATTATAGGTTGAAAACCGATTTTTTCAGAAACACGCAAGAAGCATTTAACAGGTAACAAAAAATCAGAGTTGGAAGGGACCTTGTAGGTCATCTAGTCCAACCCCCTGCCCAAGCGGAAGACCCTACACCATTTCTGACAGATGGCAGTCCAGGTCTTCTTGAAAGCTTCCAGTGATGAAGCTCCCACAACTTCTGAAGGCAACTTTTGTTCCATCGGTTGATTGCTTTCACTGTCAGGAAATTTCTCCTTATTTCCAGGTTGAATCTCTCCTTCTTCAGTTTACATCTATTGTTCCTTGTCTGGCCTTCGGGTGCCTTGGAGAATAGCTTGACCCCTCCTCCTCTCTGTGGCAGCCCCTCAAATATTGGGAACACTGTTCTCCTGTCTCCCCTGGTCCTTCTCTTCCCTAGACGAGCCAGGCCCAGTTCCTGCAACCGTTCATCGCATGTTTCAGCCTCCAGTCCCCTAATCATCCTGGTTGCTCTTCTCTGCACTCTTTCTAGGGTCTCGACATCTTTTTTATAGTGTGGTGACCAAAACTGGATGCAGTACTCTAGCTGTGTGGTCTTACTAAGGCTTTATAGAGTGGTATTAGTACCTCCCTTGATCTTGATTGTATCCCTGTTTAATGCAATTTAGGATTGCATTGGCTTTTTTTGGCTGCTGCTGCACACGGCTGGCTCCTATTTAGCTGGTTGTCCACTAGGACTCCAAGGTCCCTTATTTGGGTCAGTGGCTGTGGCCCTTTCGCCAAACTGGCTTCTCTTGTTTGTGGCTTAAGATTTTTATCCTGCCTTCGTAACATTAAAAGTCACTCAGGAGGGCGAGCGTGGGTCATGCTTTGTCCTCCTGTTTTCCTCCCACAACAAGCCTGTGAGGTTGGTTGGGCTGAGACAGAGTGACTGGCCCAAGGTCACTCAGGTGGCTTTCATGGCTAAGGTGGGACTGGAATTCACCATCCCACTATGTTTTTTCACCCTATTTTGGCCAGCTATCCTTACCGTTACTTGCTCTTGGTTTCTTTTCTTACCATTTTCTTATTTGAACATTCTAAAATATTTTTATCATCATTCCCTAAAGATGAATCTTCAGGTTTCTGATTAAATACTTTTCTGAATTTTTTTTTAATGCTAGCATGTCAAAAACGACCTTATCCAGGAGAATTCCTAAACTGTTGAAAAGAATACTAACAAGTTTTAAATCATCTCCTGCTTGAAAGAAAAACTGTTAACGCATATTTTCAAAATTGTATGTTAATTAAAAGAAATATTACCTCCCCTGACATATCCGGTGCCATAGGAATGACTGGCCATAAAGAAGAGTAGATGCCAAAAAATACTATCCAGAGTACAATGCTGCCCCATATAGCTATATGACTAAACTGGGAAAAAGAAAAAAGAAAGAAACTCAGTTAGTAAAAAATATTTTTAAAGATTGTATCTTTGTAACTTACATATAGTAATTAAAAGTGTCAGTGCATTGCCTCAATGGAAATGAACTGCTATCATTTATTGCATTACAATATTTTAAATATATCTTACCAAAGTCCAATATGAAGTCTCCAATCCAGCTTTTAAGCACACAGTGATGACCACAAACTAAAAAAAGAGGAGAGGATAAAGTTTAACTCAGATTGAAGTACGCGATTTCAAAATCAAAGAAATGTTTAACATTCTAACATCTGTATAGACACAATTTAAGAAATTGCTATCTTGCTTCTGCATTTTCCGTCAGATATGGAGGGAGTGCACCCAAGTTACTTATATTCTGAAGCTTGTGAGTGAGTGTGCATCGCTGTGTGTGTGCACATTTGCCAATGATGCTTGAGTAAACACAGAAAACACACCAATGAATGTCCGTGTGTCATCTGAGGCAGAAAGCCCAGAGGTTTTGCTTTTTTCCATGTATGGAAAAAGAAAATGATTACAACAAATAATGAGTTGAAAGTAGATGATCAACAGATGACTGCTGTTATATAAATATGACACCAAGTCATTTGGCCTTTCATTGTAGCTAGCAACAGCAAAAGCGCCTAGACTTATATACCACTTCATAGTGGTTTACAGCAATAGCCCCACCCCCCACCTCTTGGGCAATACAGGACAAGGGTATGTGGTTTCACATACTACCTAGTTGTCATGCCCCTGTCAGAATCTGATTCAGAGGGGGAGGCCAAGCAGCTGACAGGGAGTGGGAATTTGGCTCCGTTGGCTGTGGAGGAAACTGGGGAAAGGCAAAGGCTGGCTGGGCAGAGCAGGGGAGAGGTAGAGCAAGGGAGAGAAAGTTCAGGGGAAGACCCAGGCCCACCCCCTCTTCATCCTAGGGCCCACAGGGAGGAATGGAGAAGGGAGTAACATGAGTTGCGTGGCTTACGGGGGAGGAAAGGGCCCTGATTCCCTTCATTAATTGCTGCTGGGAACACAGTGTATAAAAGAGGAAACTGCACACAGCAAACTGATGAGAGCAAATTGTGAATTATCTGGTATCGTGGAGGCTTATCGGGGTTCCTGGCATCTTCCCAACTGTGTATGTTTTGTTGGCTTTTGAAGTCTGCAATTCTTTATCGTGCCCTGTCCAGTTAATTACTGCAGCGTGGTTTGTGTGGACTTTTATTTACAGTTTGTATGTACTTTGTTTTCGGACTGAATTTCCTCCACTTAAAGACTGTTTTGGGGAGTTTTTTCTCCAGCCAAAGGTAACCTGGACATTGAGGGCAAAGTTGGAGGTATTAAAGGGACTTTTCTTACTTATGTGACTGTGCTGTCTTTCTGCCGCGCCCCGGGTTATCACACTAGTCCATGCAAAAGGATGGAAGGCTGAGCCAACCTTGAGGATCGAACTCCTGGCAACGGGCAGAGTTAGCCTGCAATACTGCATTCTAAGTACTGCCTCACCGGGGCTCTTAAGCTGCTTAAGTAGGACTCAGCGAGGTCACTGGGGCACCAACTGCTGTTTCTGGTTTAAGGCCCGAGCTGGAGTAACATGAGTAAAACTTACTGTATATACAGCATTTCCCAAAAGTAAGTAGTCTGAAGTTCTACCACTGGCAAACACAGTATCTATAAAATAACAACATTGCCAATGTTAACTAAGAGATCATGCATGCAATTTGTTTGCTTTTGTTAGGTTCGTATGGCTGCCAACTCGCCAAGCCACTCTTGCCTATAAATATCTCAAGACTGGTGGTACTTCAAGAAAGAAAAAAGGGCAGCTACTATAAATGAATAAACCATCAGCTATATCAGGGGTCCCCAAACTTGGCCACTTTAAGACTTGTGGACTTCAACTCCCAGAATTCTGGGAGTTGAAGTCCACAAGTCTTAAAGTTGCCAAATTTGGAGACCTCTGAGCTATATTAATATGTAAGCAACTACATTCTATGTACATTGCACCTTTGTATAATAGGGCAAATAATTGAAGAAGGAAATCTAGAGTTAAGAGAAAACAAGGAATCCAGGGTTTATCAACTTTGGCAACTTTAGGAATGGGTGGCTTTCAAACTCCAGAATTCCCTAGCCGGCATGTTTCTTTAAGTGGCCCCTATTAATTAAAGCTGCAGCCTAAGTAATTTATAAAGAGATTAAAAACTTCAACTGTTTAATCAAAAATTCTTGAATCGGGTCTTAGCTAAAGTTGGAGTTAAGGAGAAAGAGCAGATGTCTAACCGGTAGTCCTTGAATTACGACCAAAATAGAACCCAACATTTATCTTGCTAAGTGAGATGTTTGTTAAACGGTCATAAGTCACTTTTTCCCAGTGCCGTTGCAACTTCAGTCACTAAACGAACTGTTCTAAGTTGAAGACTACCTGAATTCCATTTTAGCAACCTTGCTTCTAATAAAAGGTAACAGCATATTTAGCTTGTAAATGTATTTAGTATATTTCTGCACATTGTGAGATTACGGAGAGGAATACAGGGGTTGCTTGCCAATCATTAATAGTTCTATGCATTTGGATCTGTGTTACAACTTTCTGGGGCTGAGCTAGGTCAGGGACGGGCTAAAAATAAATATCTACCTTTCTCTCCCCCCGCCCCTCAGTTTTCCATCCCTCTTTCAAGCAAGGAAGGAGAGTATTGTATGCACATCTGCAACTACCAGCTGAACATTTATGGATTCAATTTTATGTTTGATTTTCCTTTGTCAGCTTTTGGAAATATAATCTTCCCAGATGATATTCAGATATAATCACTCTGAGTGGATTATTTGGATTATTCCGTCTGGCTAATGAGTGTCTGTATGAATTTGTTAAACAAGCAAATAAATATGTACATGTCTAGTGTGAATGCAGTCTTTTTTATTTTTTAAATATTGACTTACCATACTGGATGGCTTTTAGCGGAAACCAAAACAGAATTACTGAATGAAAGAGGCCATTTAAACAATGGATCCAGAAAACCTAAGCGAAAACAAACATTCATGACAGTTATTGTGGTAAAAGTAACTCTATGAATTTTGACTTTTTATACATATTATATATTAAATATACAATATATAAAAACATAAATATATATTTTATACACACACACAAACACACACACATATATGCAGTTTAATTACATACATGAAACATTTTTATTTATATAGTTTTCCTGATTAACTTGTTACAAATAAAGATTATAAGACAATTATATCGAACAAGTATAAGAAGCCTATGTGTTTTTATGTATTTATGTATGGACAGAGTGAAGTCAAGAGTAAGTAAGAAAAAACTTTTACTATTTCTATAAAAGGAAAGTTGTTTTGTAGTAACGTATGACATACTTTTACAAATCGCAATCATTATTGTGCTAAAAGATAAACATATTAATCGCTTGAAATTGTTCGAACAACAGAATTATGTTCTCTGCCTCAAAAAATTTTCTACTCTGCCTGTAACATCTTTGTAATATTATTTAACTGGCTAAGGTTGTACAATCCAATTTATGCCACAATACTTTGCATATTTGAACTTTTGTGTTACTCATTAACCTTTGTCTCTCCTTGCTGTGTCGTTGACAAAAGAATATTATTTGAGAAAAGGCTGAGGTGGGGGGCAAGAAAATTAGGACCGCTTTTTCATTTTTATGCTGAATACTCATTGTCTCACATTAATCCTTTAACCTCTTCATAACCCCTGAACTCTGACCCTTTTGATTGCAATGAATCTATGCATTTAGGGCAATGAAAATTCTAAATCTTCCACATATCAAACCAAAAATATCTGTCTTTACAGACCATTTGAAATTGTAAAACCCGTTAAAAATTAAAAACAATGAAAGATACAAGCAAGATCTGTTTCTAAAATAAAAAAATATAATCAAAACATTTAAACTGAGTGGTTCATGGAATTTGACCACATTCATAACTGTGCAAAACAAAACTAAACAGGACACTGTAGAAATATAGTAACTTAATTTGCATTCACTGAACTTTTTCAAAAATATATGTATTAACAAAAGACAATGAGAACATTGTGGCAGAAAGCCTATGTTAGTAAATTACTGAAATTATTTTTAATCTATCAGGCCTGCACAATTATTTATACCCTAATTTGTTTAACAAAAAAAAGGAATGTAAAAAAAAAAATGTAGGAAGCATTTATTTTAAGAAACTCAGCTAATTGGTTTTAAAGTGCTATAAATAAGTGGTACTAAAATAAAAAATAAAACATCAGCTACATTAATTTAAAACATGACTTGTATAATCATTCTGTTAATTAATTGATGCTAATTAAATTGGTGTTAATAAAATCACCAACACTAGTCCATATTTAAGTGTTCTTTCTATATGTATTTGTTTTAAGTTTACTTATGCGGTACCTAATGAAGAGAATTATGTACAGAAAAATAATATAATAACAATGTGAACAAAGGCCAACACCAGCTAAAGATCCAGCGCCTGAGATTTCACTTTGTTTAGTGTATACAATCAATTATACTTAATTTAATTGGCAAAATATATATTCTCAGATTCAGATTATAATTACCCGTAAAATTCTAGCTAGTACATCAATATTTGGACATTGTGCATCTATTGTCCATACTGGCTTTTAAAAACTTTTTAAAGAACCAGGATAAATAATTTGAAAATTATTTATTATTATTAATTTACTCTTGGTATGAAAAATTCACTGTTCGTGTGAGCCCAAGAACATCTCAACCAAAAAGCAAACACAAGAAACGCTTCCATACACATGAATGATTGATTTGTTTGCTGAAGGTCCTTTCCGCTACTTTTTACCGCATTAAATTCTCCTCTGAAAATTTTATGCATATTCATGAACAGCTTTTCTCTGGAAAAACTAGCTAGCTCAAAAAAACAAACAAAAAACAAGACAGAATTGGATTATATTGTTACTGGAAACTTACTGAGATATAGGGGACCATTATCATCAAACTTATATGTTAATAATTTTAATCACATTGTTGTAAAATAGAATCAAACAGGTGTACATGCAATAATTACTAATTATTTCCAACTACCTTTGAATTGAAATCCAGAGCATTTTGGGATGTCTTGTATAATTCAGGGTATTTTAGCATATTTTCTTTGTGGCAGGATCTCTCAAATATTCCAAGCGTCAATGGAGGCATAGCTGTAAACATCTAATACGCAAATCAAATACAAAAACTTGTAATGAACATGCAATATATTTAAACTGTTAGCATTGTCAAAGAAATTAATTATAAAAACTTACCACATTATAAAGTCCTATGCACCATCTTTCAAACAGTATCTGTCCAGAAAATCCGTTAACAAATGCAAACCATATCTGAAGAATAGAGTTTTAAACATAATATCAGTTTTATGTATTCAAGGCCATCTTTTCTTGAATCAATCTTTTAAAAATGAGGGAAATTTTAATGGCAGAAAAGATAATAAAACATGTGAAGAGTCTTCAGCCTATAATTAAAAAAAATACTTTCAATCAATTCTGATAAGGTCACAGCCTTTATGATATTTGCTCTGAAACAATGTTTTAGATAGATTATTTTGGTTCCACATTATCTCTGTGCATGACTCTATCTGAATATTTTATATAATTTGAACTATAATGAACATTTTTTTTCCAACTCTATTTCCAACTTGAAGGATTGTAATCACTAATATTTGCTAACCAAGTATGTTCACAACAGCAACAACATAAACTTTCCATCACAGGAAAGTTAATAATGAAGACAATGATATCTATTTAACTTTTATTAGGCAACAGAGCACATAATTCCTTTGTTTCTTAAGAGTACATTCCCATCCTTACAGATGTTAAATCAACAGATTAATTCTAATTACTAATAGATAAAAAAATCCCAAAACATTATTTGAATTTAATGCATTTCTCAGCGAGATTGTTACAAGTTTTTCATATCTGAAGGTATGCAATTGAATGTGCAAAATACTCATCAGCTATCATAAAATTTCTATGCAAATTAAATTAGCTGCCCATGATTAATGTTTTGATAACTATGAAACATTACAGCGCATAAGGCAATGTTTTTACAAGGCTGTATTTTTTAAAAAGCATAACAGGGATTCTGTAGATACAACAAAAATAATACTGAGCTGACATTTGAAATAAAAATTATAGGCTTTGCTTTCAACAACTGAATTCTAAACAGATCATTAACTAATATGTAATCATTAGAGGGAAAGGAGAGGAGAGCCTGAAAGCAACCTCTCACGTAGTAATTAACATAAAGAAAATTGTTAGAATTTAATAGATATAATGAAATATTGATTTTACTTTAATCAAATGCCTACAAACCTGTCCCAGCTGCTAGACTTATACATTATGGCTATTAATGTTAACCATAGCAGCAATACACTAAAAAAAAAAAAAACCCACATCTACTCATTTAACTTTTAACAAAAGAACTCACAGTCCATAAACATATTTCACAAGATATAAAACATTTAAGCAAAACTCGAAGTATATGCTATGCGTACACGAATCCTGAAATATAAGCAATTATTATATGTTCAGCATTTCAAGTAATTTAATTTTTTTTAAATCTAGCATTGTTTTGTAGTAGAATTTTGCAATTTAATGGAAATGTAAAGAGTAGCTAGACATCACTTATTTGAGTTAAATATTGGTCAAGATGTTTTTCAAAATCCCAAGAGGGGAAAAAGAGAGTTGGGGCAGAAATAAGCAGCCACACAGATTTTCCTAGGTTTCAAGCATTGTAATGGGGAGTCTAAGATCCTTGGTCAGTTGCTTGCTCTCACGCTTGAACAATAAAAATGAGGTTCAGGGCAGGCAGTTGTCCTTGCTACAGACATGCATATTCTGTCCATTCATTTATTCATTCAGTGTTGACATTAGCTATTAACCACTGCATGAGCTGCAAAAGTTGAATGTAGGTTAAGTGATTGGCAGATATACGTTCGAAACCTTTCAGGGACTTTCAATGTCTTCTATCTCAGAAGCAAAATGCGCTAAAAAGTTGGAATTCTCAGATGAGGCAATAATAGTTACTAAGCTACTGCTGTCCTGTTGCTTAATTAAACTAAGATTGTCTGAAGTTTCAGTCACCCACTGATTTTAGTTGGCAAAACAGAACATAAAATCCAAGCGAAGAAATTTTGCAGGCAGCTGGGGCTTTTTGAGGCCACAAAAAATACTGATGTATTTAGGCAAAAAATACCAAGGTATTTAAGCAATGTATTTCCTAGTAAAAACTTTCAGGGAAAGAGGATTGATGCCCAGTCTAAGTTAAATATGTGCCACTGCAAAATGTTTTAGCCAATAACGTACCCTTAACTGTGATTCCAGAAGTGGGATAAAAATCACAAAAGGGAGAAATTTATAGAAATGGAGAAGCAGCTACTGAAAAAGAAGGTTCCATGAATGACTGAAAATATGTTGATTGCATGCTTTCAGTTAACATTTGTTATCTTCAGGAATGTTGTAATTCTTGGTCATAGGGTTAGTGTAATTCAAAAGATTTTGAACAAAACTTAAGGCTGTATGTACATCTCTCAGCAATCCAGAAAATAGGACTGGACGTAATTTATCAATGTATAGTGGCAATTTGTTTTAAGTCATTTAAATAAATGAGAAGGATACATCCTAAATATAGCACCATAAAGAGGTTTTAAGAAACTAAATATTTTAGGATGTGTTTCTCAATAATTCTTGCTGAAATAACAAATAAGACATCTTTATGATTATATTTATTCCCTGGCTTTGCTTTAATTTGTATTAATGCATGTCATGCAGCCACTAAACTTACAGGATGCCAATTTCTCTTTGCATTGTGTTTCATAAATCAAAATAGGAAGTAATGTTTGAAATGGTTAAAGCCATACCTTTCAATTAAGGTGTTTTTTTTGGGTGGGGGGGGGAGATTGAGTGGTGTTTTTTTTCTCCCCAGTGTAAAGCCATTCTTACCTCAATAATATAAAGGACAATATTCTTGTAAAAGCAATACAAAATGCATTTAGCAATTCTACTGTAATTCCAGGCACCATGGACCAGAAGTAGGTTCTTCAAGTACTTGAACTACAAAGAAAGAAAGAAAGAAAAAAAGACACGCAAGATTTACGCCTTTTGATGCTTACAATCACCTGCTTATGAAATGCTTTAATATTCTCACCTGAGCTATTGAATAATCTGAAGAATTAGCAGCTTGGAGGCCTTCGTTTCCACTAATGCCAACACCTACGTGTGCCGTTTGTATCATGCTGACATCATTCGCTCCATCCCCGATGGCCAATGTCACTACCTTTACCTGTTTTTTAACCATTTGTACAATATCAGATTTCTGCAAAGGCGAAACTCTAGAAAAAAAAGAAAAACAATATTGTTATTAAACTTAAATAATGGTCATCAGGGGATAGAGATTAGCATTGTAATTTCAAATGGTCGCTAAACAAAAGTTAGTAGGTCGAGGACCACCTGTACAAGGGTCTCAATCCAGATGGAGAAGGCAAAGGACCGTGGCTTTCTGCCAGCTGTGTACATATTGAACAAAAATAAATGCTAATACTAATTAAAATACTATTTTTTTGTTTTAAAGGTAGCAGCCTAACACCAGCATAGACATTACGCAATTCCCATAAGCTTGGACAACTATACTGTAAATTCAACTGGAACCAAAAATATTTTGGAGGAATACTGCCTAAATTATATGAGCAAACAAACCAACAAACCAACAAAGATTTACCTGCAACAAATGACAGCTTTGCAGGACAGAGCCAAATCCAAGAAATACTGCCTTATACCGAATGTCAAAGCGTACTTTAATGTTTTGCCGTCAATGATTAGTGCAAAATCATTTTCTTTCCTCAAAGCCTCACCCAGGGTGCCACAGTGATGGGTTAAGGTCTCTCTTGTTGCCTGTAAAATACCACAATAAGCACACACATCGCCTGTTTGTTGTTCCTATGGTTCTTCTTCCATTAAGATGTTTATTTTATTCTGTGCGACTTTATTAACATAATTATTAAAGGAATTAAAAGCACAATTAAAATTGCTCTTTAAAAAAAAGGTATAAAATCCAACAACAACCGGGATTGAAATCAGAACCGATTAAAAATAGGAAAAATAGAACTGCCAGAAAATAAAAGCCGGCTTAGTTCACAGCTAGTTCACTTGCCTGGGAGAAGGGTTTTCACCTGGCAAATAGGAATGGCGATCCTTCTTATATGAATCTTGATACATGCTTGCACAACTAGGTTCCTATTTAATTGGGTTCGGGCTATATCAATGTCATTTACTGCATTTGTTGGAAACTATGAATCCTTTAATTGCTTTTTATACACTATGCACAAATATTCTATCTATATTTGTTTCTCAGAAATGAACTCTCTATTATTTTTGTCAATGAAGCTCTACAACCCAGTGGATCATTTAAAACCAATTGAAAAGCTTTGCTAGGGGATTAAATCAACTAGATGAGGCTAGTCGTTTAATCCACCTCTTTTTTTTCTGGTAAATTTGAATAAAACAAACTTGCAAGAACATTATCGTTGTATTTTGCATTTTCCTCACAAAAGAAACATTAGTGCAGCTGAAGTCTTTTTTTTTTAATCAGTTGCTAGGAATAAACAATTTGAGATTATGTCTATTAGGAAAAATCTGTCAATCATAATTACATACAGTTCAGTGATCAACTGTCCGCACCCTCTTTTCTGCCTTCTAAATTCAAGGCAACCACTACTTTCCTTCTCAAGAACTCCAGTATCTGTTCCAATGCCTATCATAGGATTTTTTTAGAATGTATCTTGATCTCTCTTCAACTTGAGACATTTCCATACAATGCAATCATGTTTGGAGCTACGGGGAAAACTCTCTTGATGCAACGAGGCTGACATGATGTCATTTCACTTCCATAGCTCAAAAGAAGCGCAGGTGATATAGATGAACAATATTTTTGCAGCCAAGAAAGTTCCCATCATTAACACATTGTCCAAGTTCTCATTTTAAATAACCAGAGGCACAGAACACGTATAAGGGTTTCCTGCCTGGACTAGTTGGACTAGAAGACCTCCAAGATCCCTTCCAATTCTGTTATTCTATTCTACTGAAAACATGGCAGAACAAAGGCTAGGGTTTAAGAAATATTTTTTCATTGCACGTTTTCTATATTTTGAGATCTGAAGAAGTAAAAATGTTTTTTTCCAACTGCTTTTTCCAACCATATACCCCCTACATAGACCGTTGATTCAAATTTAGATTATACTTACATCAAGGGAGCCTTCATTTATGACAATTAGCCCCATGTTTTTTTTCAAGAGTTTACATGAATGTCCTATTAGGAAAAAAATACGTTAATGTGTTTGGATTTTTAAAAGTTGTAATTGCAGATACATAAAGATATAAACATAGCTCCTAACACTGAGACATTAAAATGCAAGAATATTGTGTCCTGGATAAAATAACTGGCATTAAATTACTATATGGAGGTTTGGTGGGAAATTTAAGGCCACTTGAGGGAATATATATTTGAAGTGAACACTAGAAAGTTGAGAATTCTATTTGGTTTCGGGTAAACAAAGAACACACAAAATAACATACAGTACTGTGCTTTGCTTTTATAGGACATATTCAGCCAACATTCACTATCTTTATATGAAAAAAAATATACTAAATCTATAGGATGATATTTTTTAAGAGGGGAAGTTGTGTCAGAAGCTGAAGTCAATGAGGTAAGAGTCAGGAGTAAATTTATTGTTTCTGGGACCATAAATAAATTGTGTAAAGAACCCTTCTCAATGCACTTTTGTGTGTGTTGTCTAACCATAATCTTCTTCTATATTAATTAGAATTAGATTAGATCACATTTGTAGGTCACCGAATTGCAGGATTAGGATTAGGGAAAATTCTAAAGGATTTGCAAAACTTCCCACGCTAATGAAAATGCCAATATTCTTTATGTGACATCCATTTGACCTTGAGTTATTGAACAGAAATATGCCACGTTGCTATCACAGTATTGCAGGCAAAAGCCAGAAACTTGCTAAAACTTTTCTAGGGAATGTTATGGCACTTGGTAACAATCACTTGGCAGAAGCTGTCACCGGTTGCTTAATTAAAAGTATTTTAATTAAAGTACAGCATGTATCTGTGTATTATTATCAATGATATATATTTATAAATGTAATCATAATCAATGTGTAGCAAGGGTATCCAATACTGATGATTAATATATCCAATTGATATATTTAATAAATAATAGATTTATCTTAATTATTATTTATTAGTTGCTGCTATGTTCCATTCTGTGATTGCTGGAGTTATGTGAATACCGGGACATAACCAATTTCTTTAGTAACCCAAAATTGATTTCATATAGTCAATTCTTCCTTTCCTCTAGTTATCAGAAAAACATAATCAAAGGAAATCCTGAATAATTCCCAAAAACGTGCACCTTTCCCCCCCACAATTATTAAAATATACACATATGTTTAAGTTTATCAACTCGATTTAACATATTACCAATATTAATAGCTGTCTCTTGCTTGTCTCCAGTAAGAATCCAAATTTTGATATCTGCTTTCATTAGTGTTTCGATGGTTTCAGGCACTTGATCTTGAAGCTTATCTTCTATGGCTGTAGCGCCAAGTAACTGGAGATTCTTCAGAAAAAACACACGAGAGAATTAACTTCCTTTTCTTAAAGCAAGCAAGATATATAATTTAGATTTAGGACCTGGTACTATAGCAAACACACCTTAAACTAAGGTACTTACAAACAGAAAATTCCTAGTATCATAGTGAGGTGACTATTCCAGGTTTCCCTTCTTAACAAAGTCTATTTCTTGCAAGAAAAAAAAATCTCCTAAGAAAAAATGGAAATGAGCTCCAAACAATTGCTCCTTGTGACAATGACACAATGCAGTCTTCTCTGTTGGATATTGAGCAACGAGAGATAACCATTTTGCTTGCGACTATGGTTGGTGCTTTTTAAATGACAATTTAAATTCTCAAACTTCCTTTTTTAATCATGCTTAGAAGCTTCTTATCAATTACTTTTAAGCTATTAGAGAACTTTCGATCGAGAAGTCTGAAAATATGAGGTTAAACCCCCCCTTTTTAAAAATGTATTCAATCAGTGCTAAACTACAATGTTAATTTATAGTAAAATCTACATACAATTAACCAGGATCTCAGTAAAATTCATTGCATAAAGTTAAGCAACACCTACTTTTTCAATTAGTTCATAACTCTCTTCAAGTTTCAGAGCTCTGTTTTGGATAGAGGTTGTAGCTTTTTGATACACGTTCAGCCACTCCTGATAATCACTTTCTGTAATCTCAGCCACAGCGAAACAGAGGGTCCTCAGACCTACAGGAACAGCCACAAAACGGTCCATAACTATTACTTCTCTATAAGTTTGGAACTTTGGATTCAAGCAGATTATAGGCAAAAAAAGAGGTTTTTTTATTTCTTTTTTTTGGAGAAGCTTGCAATCAGAATTCCAAAATGGAAATTCTGTCTGAATTTTCTGGATCTTTAAACCAGCAACAAGGACTGCAGTATGGGTAGTCCTCGACTTACGACAGTTCATTTAATGACCGATTGAGTCTGTTTAGTTACAATGGCACTGAAAAAAGGGACATACGGCCATTTCCTACATTTATCACCTCTGCAACATCCCCCTGGTCACGTGATCAAAATTTAGATGCCTGGCTTACTGTCTTAAATGTCTCAAATTTGACATTTTCAAAGAGGCAACATCACAGGTTGTACGTGATGCTTTTCAATTGCTTGTTGACAAGTGAGAGTTAATTAAGTATACAGAAATTAAGCAAAAGGCAGGGTTTATTGGGGCTAAAAGAAAATAAAACTTCTAATCTGCACTGCACTAGCTGAAAAAACAGAAGTAAGGTTTTAAAGTAGCGATAGCAATAGCACTTGGACTTATATACCGCTTCATGGTGCTTTAATGCCCTCCCTAAGCGGTTTACAGAGTTAGCCTCTTGCCCCCAACAATCTGGGTCCTCATTTTTCCCACCTCAGAAGGATGGACGGTTGAGTCAACCTTGAGCCGGTCAGGATTGAACTGCTGGCAATTGGCAGAGTTAGCCTGCAATACTGCATTCTAACCACTGAGGGAGGAAGGAAGGACTAGCAATAGCACTTAGACTTATATCCTGCTTCATAGTGCTTTTACAGCCCTCTCTAAGCATTTTACAGCCTCTTGCCCCCCAACAATCTGGGTCCTCATTTGACCCACCTCGGAGGGACGGAAAGCTGAGTCAATCTTGAGTTGGTGAGACTCGAACTGCCAAACTGCTGGCAGCCGGTGTTCAGCAGAAGTAGCCTGCAGTATGGCACTCTAACGACTGAGCCACCGTGGCTTTTTAATTGTCGATCATCATCTATTTATTTTATTATTAATATGCAATTATTTATTACTGTGCTGTTATAATTAAACAGTAATACTGTACTCACCTTCAGTAGCAAACAGCTCTAAATGTTTCAAGGTAATTTCTTTGTATCTTGAATTTTCAGCCAGACGATCACAAATAACTGTGTCCTATAGTAATAATTAACAATAGTGAACAAGAATCTATTTTGTTGAGCATTAAAGAAATGTAAAAAGCAAAACTAGGCCAGAAAATGATACTCTGTAACAGTGGTGGCTAGCCTTTTTCAGCTCCCGTTCTGATTATTGCGCACACACTCGCCTGCACTCGCTCGTGTGCCTGTCCCAGAAGGCAATGCGTGCTGTCCCCCCTGCCCCCTGTGCATGCATGCCAGATACCCGACAATCGGTTGTCAGGCGGTGGCGCGCGCATGCGCAGTGGAGCACTTCCGGGCAACCTCTCGTGTGCCAGGGGAAATGGCTCTGCATGCCACTTCCAGCATGCGTGCCATAGGTTCACCAACACGGCTCTATAACAAAAATGCTATTTAATGTGTAGTATTACAGTTAATTATTATTTAATTAAAATGCATATCCCATTTTCCTTTTAAAAATTAGCAAAATTTAGCATAAACAGTTTTTTTTTAAAAATTCACCACTATGTAGCCAAAAAAAAAAAAAAAACCACCTCTGCATATTTATATTAATGCAAAGACTGATTGAAAACAATACTGTATGTAACAACCCTTTACAATTTTTACTGGATTTTGAACTATGAACTGAATGTATAAATGTGCGGGCATCAGTTAAATCACTTTTATTTTTAAGAGTTGCTTACCCGAATACGGCAGTGTACATCAAATAAATACAATTTACATACAAAAACATACGTATAAAATTGTCTCCCGTGTTTTTGGCTCTGCATTGAGCACAGAATTCTGAGTGATGTATTTTGGATTGTGAATTGAAGCTTTAGGCTTTAAATTAAGCATTTTTTTCTTTCAGAAAACTGGAGCTCTGTAAGAGCTCTGAGCTGAATGCTGATGGAACAGCACCATCTGGTGGTCTGGGTGGAGTATATTATACTTCATTTCTATTAGTTTTAAGTTGTGTGTAGTTTTTTTAAAAAAAATTACCAGTTGTTGCTTTCCCTGGAGTTGGACACCTCTGGAACATACATCTTTTCCTTAACTTTGAGTATTTGTGCGTTGTAAGTAAAGAAGACTTTTATGTTTGCTTTTTTCTATTTCTTTTCTTTGAATAAAATTTGATTTTGTTTATGCAAGAAAGGAAGGAAAAAGAACCAGGGGTGATGGCCAATGCTTGTGCTCCTTCCTTCCCCTATCTGTTTCCTCATTGGTAGTTTTGTGTATCTCACACACACACACAGGGCAGTTGTGTTTCAGGTGTAAGAGTCTGTGTGTGGAGAAGATGCAGTTAGGTACCCAAGCATCTTATTCATCTTATCCAAAAGAAAAATGAGCCCAGAGAAACAGAAAAAAACTGGAATCTTCTGGTGGTCAGGTTATCTTCTCTTAAATTATGGTGGATTCCCTCAGCACTGTATCCAAGAATTGGGATCCAAGGATGGGCTAAACAAGGAGTGTCCAACCTTGGCAATTTTTAAGACTTATGGACTTCAACTCCCAGAATCCCTCAGCCTGTCAATTCTGGGAGTTGAAGTCCACAAGTTGCCAAGGTTGAATACCCTGTGTGAAAGAAACAAACAAAAGGGGCAGGCAAAAAACTGAAATCGCGGTAGGGTAAAACCAGACTTTGAAGAGGTGTTCCCCTCTCTCCATCAGAAAGGAGGCATTTCCTTCCGCCTTTAAAACTGAAAAAAAGGACACAACTATACACCTTCCTCAGCTTAAAAAGAAGCCAACAAGAGGCAGAAGAGTTCCCTCCGTTGGCTTCAGCCAAGAATGTGTTAAGAACCGAAGAGAAAGGAAACAATGAGACAGACACGAGAGAGAGGATGAGACTAAATAGGAAGCACGCAGATACCGGAACACAAAATAGAAATAATAATAATAAAATTGTTCCAAGAAGAGAGGCTGAAAAAATAGGACATTCACATAATAACAGGATAGGGAAACAGACAGAACAATGGAAGTATGGAAGATAACTTAAGAGAAATGTAAAGCAAATCTCAGCCATAGGATAAAAATTGCACAGATTTAGTGAAGACACCTATAGAAACCCAGAAGTACTATGAATTTTGAGTCCATCTAAGGGCCAGGAGACAAAGCTCTGGGTTTTTATGTACACATCGGGGTTAGAAGATGGGATAGCAAGTCAGGTGCCCCTTAGTGTATAAAACATTGCAGCACAAAACATCGTGAGCTGTCCTGATACCTCTAGATGACCTCCATAGGGCTTGCTGCCTTAGAAGAGTGAGGAAAATCATCAGGGATGACTCACACCCCGGTCAGCACTTCTTCACTCTCCTACTATCGGACAGGAGATAGAGAAGCATAGCCAGCCCCACCAACAGGCTGAAGAACAGTTTCTACCTGTGGGCTGTCAGACTCCTGAATGGGAAATAACTTCATGTCAATGTAGTACGATAGACTTGCGGGGCCGGCGCGTTGTGCAACAAGGTCACATAGTGTAATAAGATTGGGACTGGGTTAGGGACTTCTGTCTTGTGAGTTGTGTTGGGGGTGTGTGCACGAAGGGAGGCTTAGCCAATCGCATTGTACACATGTTGTACTCTGACAATAAAGGTAATAATAATCTGGTCGTAGAGAAAGTACTAGTGGGTGTAAATCCCAATGGTTTCTGGGAAACAACGTTTGAGACCTACCACTCTTCACCCTACGGACACAGTGGTGCCATTGCAAAACGTTGGTTCTATTGTTTTTACTAGTATTGGGGGGGAAAAAGAGTAGAAGAAAGTGGCATGACTAAATAAGTCACTATCTGTTTATTCCTTACAATCTTCCTTGAGAAAATACCACTGACAGTCAAGTTTCAGAAACTTACATCTGAAAAAAATAAAAATAATAATAACAACGGAGTGACAACTTACAGCTCCTTTGCAGTAGAGTCTTAATTTTCCGGATGGTGTACGCACAATCACAGACATTCTTTTTCTAGAACTGGAAGAATCGAAAAACTGTTAACATTTTTAAGGGACTTTGAAAGCAAAAGACAGAAAAATAAAAGGTGCTAAAAAGGCCGATGTAATTACCTTGTAAATTCTAACACGTTCAGCAATTCGTATCTTTCTTCTTGACCCAGCTGGGAGGGAGGAAGCAACACTTTACAATTTCAAAGGCATTTCTAATTTCTCAATATTTTTTTTACTGAGAAAATAATACCCTTACAGTTTACTAATTTAATCCACTTACAGATTCTATAATGACAGAGTCTGGCGTTCTTCCAGTAAAAACAAAATGGAGATGCTTAGCTGCTCTGACTAATGCTCCTTCATCTGTAACAAAACATCCACTATTATTTTTCATTGCCAAATCAATAAGAACAATAAACTAAAAACAATATGTTTACTGTTTTGACCACCAGAAATTAGATTTTTCATCTTCATTTTATTCATACGCAATTTCATTTCATTCAAATATAATATCCGCTACATTTTTTCCCAAGTAAAAAGAAGCACATTTCATAATTTAAGAATGCTTCCCAAGATGACTTTTTTTATCATATAATAGCCTTTCGTAGCTCATATAATTTGATGGGGGAATGAAATAGGATCGTGGAATTCCGCTTCAGTTTTCTTGCGTTATTGTTATCGCTTCTTCCGTTTTTTTTCCCTTTTCAAAAATATCAATTAATGGCTTCCGAGCAGTACAAGAACTGTTGGGAAGCATTGCAATGTCCGAATATATTTTTATGTTTGTATAGTTAAAATGCGTAGCTAAAAAAACCCACCAACCTTTTCCTATATAGTCTCTTTTGAAAACAACAAACCATGATAGCCTAGCAAATGTCAGAGCCTGGCCAAGCTTAGTTGATCTCACTGTATGGCAGACTAACAGACATCCCAGGGGTATAGGCTAGAGTAGTTAAAAGTTAATTCTTCAAATCAACTTGACTCCTAGTGATTTCATTAAATATATTTGTAAGGTAAATGTAAAAGTTCCCTTTGCACATAATGCGTTCTAGTCACTTCTAGCTCTAGGGGGAGATGTTCATCTCTGTTACAAAGCTGAGGAGCCAGCGCTGTCCAAAGATGTATCTGCGGTCATGTGGCCGGCATGACTTAAACGCCGAAGGTGCACGGAACACTGTTCCTTTCCCACCAAAGGGGGTTCCTATTTTTCTACTTGCATTTTTTTTACATGCTTTCGAACTGCTAGGTTGGCAAAAGCTGGGACAAGGAACGGGAGCTCACTCCCTTACGCGGCGCTAGGGATTCAAACCGCTGACCTTTCTGATCAACAAGCTCAGCGTCTTAGCCACTGCGTCCCGAACATATTTGTTTGTAGTGTTCCCCCCCTTTATTAATAATGCTCTTATACCTCTTACATATCTAGTTATTACATTTATATGCCGCTCATCTTGTGGGAAAAGGCAACCCATAAGCGGCTTATATCACCACAAGAATTTTGTTTGTGAGAAGAGGGTCCCTGGTGACAGCCCAAAAAGGTGATTGTAGTAATAACCAACATTACAAATTGGGCCCCTAAATACAACCAGAGCAGTGGCTGGTCAATCAATCGGTAATGCACAGGTAGTCCTCGACTTACGACTGCAATTGACTCAAAATTTATGTTGCCAAGTGAAACATTTGTTCGGTGAGTTTGGCCCCATTTTGCGACCTTTCTTGCCACCATTGTTAAGTTAGTAACATGGTTGTTAAATGAATCTGGCTCCTTCCCATTGACTTGGCTTGCCAGAAGGTTGTAAAATGTGATCACGTGACCCCGGGATACGGCAACCCTCGTGACTCAGTTGCCAAGCAGCTGAATTTTGATCACGTGACCATGGGGATGTCACAATGGTTGTAAGTGTGAAAACCGGACATAAGTCGCTTTTTTCGGTGCCGTTGTAACTTCGAACAGTCACGAAACAAACTGGTTGTAAGTCAAGAACTACCTGTAATTCACTAATGGAGCCTGCTTGCCCACTTCCATTTCCCCAAGTTTCCTATCACTGGTGTGTCAGGATTCTGGCAGTTACCCCCATTTAAATCATGAATCTCGAGCCAAACTTCCAAAACTTCAAAAGGATTTATTGGAAGTTAACATGCCGGCACTGCCTGGGTGTAGCTGACTCTGAGACACATAATTCATTGTCGCCTTTGATCCTGGTTTCCCCCCACCCCCGGGTGGCGTCATCAATTGTGCTCTCCAGTTAGAATTTTGCGCAGCGGAAACTTCAGTCACCTAGTTACTATCTGTGAAAAACTATTTCGGCACTTTTGGTTTTGCAAGCTGCCGCACTGCTCTTTCAAAACCTCTCCCCTCCCTCCCTCCCTTTCTATTGGCAACTCGAAAAAGACCACAGAAATATGAGTTGACAAGGTGTGTGTAAAATAAATTCCTGCTTAGAAAAATTACCAGGAGTGGGAAACGGAAAGGGGATGGCAAAGACATATAAAGGTAAGAGTGGTGGCTACTTCCCTATCTCTAACCTCCAGGGAACACAGGCATAGATATAATCAAAGACTTTTCACGTGGGCTTTTGAAGATCAGGATCTTCTGTCCAGAGCAGCCTGTTATTCCGATGATCGGTGGTGTAAATTATGGGCATGCATTGTTGAACTAAACCGGTACGAATTCATTCTCTTCACATTACATTGCATGAGGAAATCCTACAAAGCCTATTATAGGCATGACTTGGTGCGCGGCAAGCCAAAATGCCCTTATAAAAAGCCCAAGCAACCCATAATCCTTCTGAGGATAATGTTCAGCCTACAATTAGCAATGCATCCTCTTTACAATAAACTCCAGGCTAATCCATCCGTTCGATGTCCATATATCTTTTAGCACGTTATTAAAGGTAAAGCAGTTCAACTTTATTTAGTTGAAAGCGATTATAGTGCCGCAATAAGCCTTACCTGGAGATGCCGCTTGATAAATTATTCTGTCATCTTCTCTTTCTGGGACAGCTGTGTGACAAATTGCCATCATTGTCAAAAACTCACAAATGATAGGGGCCGTTGGCTGAAAAACAGAAAACAGTAGAATGAATTGTTCTAGAATTAAAAATTGTATGTACAGACAAACAAGTGCAAAATAGCTGTATACAAATAAAAACATTTGTTTTTTTTTTTTTAAATAAACCTGCATTCACCTAGGAGAAACAAAATGGCAGGGGAAATGAAAGAGAGAAAGAAAAGATATACATTTTCTTTATATATAAAAATCAGGTGCTTACTGAAGAAAAGGGATAGTAGTAGAAAAAAGGTTATGATCAGTGCTCCATTCTCTTCTTGATTACAGACCTGTTTTTTATGCAAATCAAAACTCTACTTTGTGAGCCTTTAAGAGGAAATAAATATTGTTAACTCTTCTGATCATCAGGAATTATTTCAGTTTTGATCACCACGATGCAATAAATAAATAAATAAATACAAAAGTGGAGACTCTAGAAAGAGTGCAGAGAAGAGCAACTAAGATGATTAGGAGGCTGGAGGCGAAATTATATGATGAATGGTTGTGGGAATAGGGTAGTTTAAAGAAGAGAAGGGATAGTGGGTGAAATGAGTCAAATCCTCGGCTACAGAAAAGACGACCAGGGGAGACAGGATAGCAGTCTTCCAATATTTGAGAGGCTGCCACAAAAAAGAGGGGGCGGGGGGTTCAACCTGTTTTCCAAAGCACCTGAAGGCAGAAGAAGCAATGGATGGAAACTAACCAAGGGAAGAAGCAACCTGGAATTAAGGGGAAAATTCCTAACTGTGAGGACAATTAACCAGTGGAACAACCTGCCTCCAGAAGTTGTGGGTGCTCCATCACTGGAGGCTTTTAGGAAGAGACTGGACAGCCACTTGTCTGAAATGGTAGATGCTTGTGCATGGGGGTTGGACTAGAAGACCTCCAAGGTCCTTTCCAACTCTGTTATTCTATATTTATTTTATTAAGATTTTTACCCTGCTTTTATTACTTTGCAAGTAACTCAAGATGGCACACATACATTAAGACCCCTTCCTCCTCCTATTTTATGTCAGCTTTGAGGTTATTTATTTTGCGTCGCCTTATTTCTGCATCTTACATGTTTGTTTTGCAGGTTTTCCAGTAATGATGGGTCGCTAAATGTTTTTTCTTCCTTTGCTTGTGGACTCTGGCTAAAAATAAAAGTGAAAGAAATGAAAACATGACTACATGTAGTTACAATAAAAAAACCAAAACAATGTAGCTTCATTAAGTATAAATCATTTAGATTCTGTTTATATCTTTTTTGAAGTAACAATGTTTAATAATTACAATAATTTGTACTTAAGGAGGCAGCTTACATTTTAATTATCCTTCATCCACATACTTATAGTTTGATTAACTATGTAGTAAAACATATTTAACTGGGTTCAATACAAGATGATATACAGAATGAAATGAAGGAAATAATAATTAATTTACCCATATGAATCACATCAAAACCAAACCTTTTACCCACAGATTAAAAACCAAAAGTCAGTCTCTGATAACAAAGTGTTTTCCTAGACTCAGAGATTGAGTTTTGATGAACGTATATGGATATTTTTGATAATGTTGTAAGACCATACTGTAGTACAGTACTCTAATAATTCGAAAATGAACATTTTAAAACCAGATTATTTATATTTGAGTGAAGTAATGTTCAGTAAAGCTTACTCAGTCTAAAAAAAGGGATGAACAATAACTTTTCTTTGCAATTGAGGAGTCGAATTCCACTTCTCAACAGATGGAAATGTTTATTTGAAGGTACTGTTTCAAAATTACTTTCTCTATATACACCCAGTTTCAGTATGTTAATAATAGTTATAGATCATTGTGAGTAGAAAAGAAATAGCAGCAAAAATTAGTGCTTACCACTCATCCAAAGTACAGCCAAAATCATCGGATTCAGGAGAATGGCTGTATGAAATGTAAAGAAGGCAGAACATAGAAAAATAGCTAAGAAAGCTAAGTAAGGCTTGAAGCTCATCACAGAGAAATTAAAACAAAGGAAAAAACCTCCACAATTGATCTAGTGATCCACTCATGTAATTGAAACTGTAAGTTTTTTTTAAAAAAGTTATCCATGTTATTTGGAATCCTACTTTGTTAGGGTCCTGGAGTGCATGGCCTGCCTTACGTAACTCAAGCATGTAGCTCCAGCAACTGTAGAGCAGGGGTGTCCAATCTTGGCCACTTCAAAGCTTGTGGACTTCAACTCCCAGAATTCCCCAGCCAGCAAAGAAAGGGAAGGAGGAGGTTTTAAACACGAGGACAAGGCACAGCCAGGTATGGCATTATAAGGGAAGAGGAAGGAAGGAGGCGCCCTGAGAGGAGTCACATACTTCAAAATCTGTAGCACTGAAATTTTAGGTTCCAGTTTTTATCGTATCTTTTGAAAATCCAATAAATGCAAGTGTGCAGGTGTTCTTATAGAGCAAGGGTCTTCAAACTTGGCAAGTTTAAGACTTGTGGACTTCACACTCCCACAATTCCTGAGCTGACATGACTGGGAAGGAATTCTGGGAGTTGAAGTCCACAGGTCTTAAAGCTGTCAAGTTTGACGACCCCTGGAATAGATGGGACTTTGAATGGAGCTAATTCTTTGCACTGTCTTTTAACTTCCATTATCCCGAAGACTTTTAGTACAGGTCATCTTTGACTTGCGACCACAAATTGAGCCCAAAATTTATGTTGCTAAGTGAGAAATTTGTTAAGTGAGTTTTGCCCCATTTCATGACTTTTCTTGCCAGATTTGTTAAGTGAATCATTGCGGTTGTTGACTTAGTAGCATGGTTCTTAAGTGAATCTAGCTTCCCTGTTGACGTTGCTTGCCGGAAAGTTTGACCTTGGAATGCTGCAACCGTCGTAAATATGAAGCAGTTGTTAAGCATCTGAGTATAAATCATGTGACCATGGGGATGCTGCAACGGTCATTAAGTGTGAAAAATAGTCAGAAGTCACGTTTGTCAGTACCGCTGTAACTTCAAACGGTCACTTAACAGTCACTGTTGGAAGTCAAGGACTACCTGTATTAGTATGTTAGTATTTTAGTCTTCTGTATCTTTACTTTTAATAATTAACAATCTGACAATCAGTGGCTCCCAAGGAAAGAGCACCACGGAGGTTGCTAAAGTTTAAGTGAAAAACCATCCGTGGAAAATACCCAGTTTGATAATTCAAACGCCACGGCTAAAAAGATGAAGCTGACTTAAAAGGCAGTCCCTGAACTAGTCTTGCATCAGGGGCTTCTGGTTCTCTTTTGAGACTTTTTTGTTTTTAATGTAAAGATCTTGAAGAGATTTTCGAGAGAATTTTAATGACATTGCCAATGTCCAACTCTAATTTTTTTTTTAAAAAAAATAAGGTAGCAAGGTAGATAAAACCAGTAATGACGTAAGAGAAAAGAACTCACCCATAAGATATTCCTGCTATGGTACACTTCTTAAATTGCATAACGTTGCACGTCAAGGTACCTGTTTTGTCTGAAAAGATGTATTTGACCTTTAAAAGAAGAAGGCAAATGTTCATTAATATGTTTCATCAAGCATACATTAATGTTGTAGTAATACGTGATTTCTTAAATTATTCAATGTATTGAAAATGCTAGCAATATATACATATATGTGTATACACACACACACACACACACACTTTCAAGTATTGGGTAGTTTAGATAACAGATCTGTAAACGGTCAGCATAGAATTTAGCACCATTTTCAACTTTATAAGTTAGGAGTATTTTGATCTCAAGAAGGATCATTTGAAGATTTAGGTTCTCTCTACATTAAACTTAATAGCAGCTGTTAAGTAAATAGCATCCTCTCTTTTTGGGAAGTGTCCCTAAAGCTGGTGTATCTCCAGGAACTCTTTTTGTTTCTTTCATAATATTTTATTGAAGTTTTAAAAAATACAAAGATGAAAAAGTAATTGTTGTGTTGCTTACTGAGTCAGAATATTTATATCTTGTAAATGGTTCCTGTAATGAGTCATTGCTAAAAATGGCACCTTAGGCTCTTTTTTTTTCTTGCCAGATCTGTAGGACTCTTTATAAATGCTCTGCTGTTCAGAATAGTGGTTAAATTAGGATATTGATATAAATCTCATTAGACCCTGGCATGTTCTGAAGAATAATCCCTAGATCAGGAATGGGCAACTATGGCCTCTTTTATGACTTGTGGACTTCAACTCCCAGAATTCCCGAGTCAGGAATTCTACATGGGCATATTTGGGGGGTAAATGTAAACATAATCCATTTAAACATAGGATAGAGAATATTTACATTTTACCAAGTTATCCGTTCATCAGATAAATGACAGTGAAAGGAGATGATTGTGTGAATTTAAATTAAGAAATTACACATTAACAACAGATTCCCCCCCCCGCAAAAACAAACCAAAATACCTGGCCAAGTTCTTCATTAAGATTGGATGTACGTGCCATGGCAGCAGTGTCTGTAAGTTCATAATGCATGTCAATATCCTAATAAAATAATAATAAAAAAGCTGAAAAGGGTATTAACTTGTGCACACACTCCGCTGCAATCTGTTTTGAGCAAAACATTAAGCAAGAACTTGCTATTAACTAAACATTTACCAAAATTTTATTCCATGTGTGAATATTAAGGATAGGATGGGGAAACTTCTGATATAAAGCCAGGTGTAGACTTCTACCACTGAGAATATGCATTAGGCTATTCATTATCTGTCTTTGTAGTTTGTATTAGGAGTAAACATGTTTTTGCAAGCTCATATCTTAAAACGTTTAGTTGTAAGGGATTTCATTAATCTATACCAGGGGTGTCAACTCGCATCTTCATGATGTCACATGACAAATTGGGACTTTTTCCCCCTTTGCTAAACCGGGTGTAGGCGTGGCCAGAGCATCCGGTCCATGGGCCGGGAGTTTGACAGCCCTGACCTATACCATTTAAAGCCTGCAATCGTCTAAGAATACATTTTGTGACATTTTATCCTGCAATTTAATCTGCACTATTTTAACAAATAGCCTGTATTGTCAAATATTATCAAATAACATATATTCTATTCTTGAAATGAATTATTAAAAGGACTGCAAATAGCACAATAATTTTTATATTTACCCAATTTATAAAATATGCTTGAATAAATTTGACAACTTCCAGTGTAACTAACAGACTGATTGGAATTAGATTATTGAAGAGAATGATAAATGTCAGGAAATTGAGTCCAAAATTATTAGCTCCACCATCTGTTAAAACAAGGAGAACAAAGATAAATCATGCATTATTTATAACATTAAAGTACAATATTCTAGACATTTATTTAATTAAGTTTATTTTAAAAACTATATATAAAGGTCTCCTAATACCCTGGTTCCTATGAAACCTGCTCTTGAATCTGATTATTTGCCTTGGAAAGGAATCTGAATAGAGATGTCAAAAAAAACAAATTGGAAAATAGAAGTTAAACTGGATCTCTGCTAAGATCACAGTGTGGTATAAATCCACCATACATGTGCTGGTGCTATTTAAGTCATTTAGCCTTGTGGTGCGACTGGAACAATCTTGGACTAAAAACACTCAAAACCATAGAAATGATGGTAGATTTTAGGAGAAACCCTCCTATACTACCACTACTCACAATACTAGACAACGAAGTAGGAACAGTGGAGACCGTCAAGTTTCGAGGTTCTATCATATCTCAAGACTTAAAATGGATACCTAACATCAAAAACTTCATCAAAAAAGCACAATAAAGTATGTTCTTCCTGCACCAACTCAGAAAGCTCAAACTGCCCAAGGAGCTGCTGATCCAGTTCTACAGAGGAATTAATGAGCCTGTCATTTGTACCTCTATAACTGTCTGGTTTGGTTCTGCAACCCAACAAGACAGACACAGACTTCAGAATATAATTAGGACTGCAGAAAAAACAATTGCTACCAACCTGTCTTCAAACGAAGACCTGTATCCTGCACGAGTCAAAAAGAGGGCTGTGGAAATATTTACAGACCCCCTCACATCCTGGACATAAACTGTTTCAACTCCTACCCTCAAAACGATGCTATAGGGCACTACACGCCAGAACAATTAGACACAAGGAGTTTTTCCCCTCATGCCATCATCACTCTGCTAAACAACTAATTCCCATAACACTGTCAGACTATTTAGTAAGGCTGCATTACTATTATTCTCCTCCTCCTTCCTATTACCTATCTCCTTTTCTACTAATGGCTATAACTTTGTTGCTTGTATCTTTACAATTTATGTTGTTTTATTTGGTTTCCTAGTATGATTTATGTTGATTGCTTATTTAGTATCCTATGATTATCACTAAGTGTTGTATTTTAGGATTCACGATGAATGTATTTATGACTATGATCATGATTTATCACTTATATCTTTATGTACACCGAGAGCTTATGCGCCAAAGACAAATTCCTTCCAATCACACTTGGCCAATAAAGAATTCTATTCTATTCTTCTATTCATTTAGACTCTCTGAAATAATGCATGAAATGCAACTACTATACAAGGTTTCACATAATTTCTAATTTGAACCTGGACAAATATGTCTTCTGGTGAATTTGTATATGATTACGCAAGTGCACACACACAATTTTGTGTGTGCAATTTTAAGAAGTTACAAAAAAAAGTTATTAAAAAATCATCAAAAATCTTTTGTCAATATTAACCATAATACTGTTTTAAACAGGTATAAATACAAAGATGTATAATGCACTTATTTTATTTTGTAGACATAAAGTAAGATAGGTATCATTACGGCAGGAAAAATACACTTGTTTTAAGGGCTTACAGGTTAGGCTGATGTACCAGTCTCTCCCCTCGTGCTTTTGATTCCATATAGCTGCACCAATGGAACAAACCAGAGACATGGCAATAAGAATGCAGAACAAAAACAGAATTTGTATATTTGTGATCCTTTCCACGTTAGACAGCTTAAGAGGTGGGCTTGTTGAGTTCTGTGGATCAAAAGGAGGGTCCAAAAATAAATATGACATTCATATGCTATTTTGGTTTTTCTTTACTTTCTAAGGACATTTTCATGCTTGTATTAATCATCTTAAATATTCATGTCAATGAATGATATAGCTTATTTTATAAAGGCTTGAAAAACACAGTACAGTTTTAACGTGGGTGATACCTTCCATTGGAAGTGTCAATAAGAAACAATAGGAACTACTGTTAAAATAAATGCTAAAAAGAGAGCTATATTAGATTTTTGTAGCAATGAGTGTTGTGGCATTTTAATAATTAACAAATATTGAAATGCATGTGATAAGAAGCTTGACTGTCTTTTATGTACCATGGGATTCCTATAAATTACTACTGATTTAATTTGACAGTAAAATAAATGCATACATTTATTAATTTATGAGTCATATGTTTATCTAGTGAACTGAGAAACCCAAAGATATAACCCTGATATGTGTCAAATGATACCAACATATTTACCCAATAATAATGATGGCCAACTATTTTTTTTATCTGTATAGCAAGTCCAAGGTGTTAAGTGTTCATTTATGCAGGTAGTCCTTGACTTATGACCACACTGGAGGCGAAAATTTTTGTTGCTGAGGCAGTTAAATGAATTTTGCCCCATTTTATGACCTTTATTGCCAGAATTGTTAAGCAAATCACTGCAGTTGTTTCATTAGTAACATGGTTATTAAGTGAATCTGGCTTCTCCATTGCTTGTCAGAAGGTTGCAAAGGGAGATCTCATGACCCCCCCGAGACGCTGCAACCATCATAAATATGAGACAGTTGCCAAGCACCTGAATTTTGAGCATGTGACCACGGGGATGTTGCAACAATTGTGTTTCAGTGATGTTGTAACTTTGAACAGTCACTAAATGAACTGTTGTAAGTTGAGGACTACCCATACGGCCATGCTTCTAATTTATTATTCAACTAGGCGTCTTTTGCTCCTGTCCATTATGGCATAAACATAGAGCAGAAGATCCAAAGGTCTTTAACATACAAGGTTATTCTTGGTTGAGAGACAAACCTGCATAAGTTTTGTATCGTGTCCTGTATAAACCACGATTCCATGAACCCACTGTGTATTTCTGAGCTGAGCACCACGCAGAAGAATCTGGTCAGGCCCCAGTGGGACAGTCCTAAAAGAGAAGACGGCAAAAATTAAGTTACGTTAACTACTTCAGAAACATTAATATAGAAACAGATGGGGTTTTTTTTTTCTGGGAAATTCTTAGGCATATTTAACTTTAAGACTTTTTAATGGGAGTACTAACAAGAAGAACATAATTAATAAGAGCATAATTTTATTATGTTTCTCTTTGCATTTTACGTATCCAAATTGCTATTTTGTACTAATATTTTTATAGTCCTGTCAATCATTGCAAGTGATCATTGCATCCAAAATTGAGTCACATCCTGATTTAATAGAGGTCACATGATACTCCCCACCATTCTTCTTCTTCTTCATTAGGGATGTTTTTTTAAAGAGTGAAAAAGACAGAGGTAGTACATATGAATCAATAACGCCTCTTGTATCATTAGTAACAGTAGTATAAAAAGCTTTTCAGTTTAGCTTTTGATCTTTATTTGCTGTCTGTGATTAATTTGCAAAAGGGCTTGACTTCTTTGTGCTGCTGATAAAATCAAGGTGCTAGCCATTTTTGTAGTGGAAGTCCTGATATACTATGTTGTCTCCCCTTTGGTTCTTCCTTCAATGAGCAGTTTTGTGCGTTAGCAGAAATCATCCAGATATTAAAATGCTGCTGAACCCATTGAGAGGGAAATCTTCTGCAATTCAAGACTTGACTTTGGATGGCCTGGAACCTATGCCAGAATCAGCTGAACTTTGCTTGCCTCTTTCTTAATTTCTTAACATTAGGTTTTAAGTACATTTCTACCAAATGGGAAATCAGGATACGCAAACCATTTCTAACATAAAACAGTCCTCCAATCTCCTGCATATAACATTAAAAAAAAAAAAAAAAACACCCTTTTGCCACTGAGACTTGGATTGTAGGCAGTTTAACCTCAGTTAGTATTGAGTGGAACTAGTTAAAGGGAATAGAGAATATGGCGTTAACCACATTTCTCAGAGTCTAGGCCATTTTGTACAATAGTTTATTGCTATTAAATTGTTTTATATGAAAATTAAGTTAATAAGTTAATATATGAAATTAAAATTAATGAAAATTAAGGATGGAACCTGAACAAGGAGAGATTCAACCTGGAAATAAGGAGAAACTTTCTGACAGTGAGAACCATCAACCAATGGAACAGAAGTTGTCCTCGGAAGTTGTGGGACCTTCATCACTGCAGACTTCCAAGAAGAAATTTATTTATTTATTTATTTTTATTTTATTTGGTTTGTCAATTGTTTACAAAATAGGTATAAGTAAAAACATAGTTATGAATATGTGGACACATATAAGAAAAATAAAAGAAACAATAGGACAGGGATGGTAGGCACGTTGGTGCGCTTATGCACGCCCCCTACAGACCTCTTAGGAAAGGGGTGGGGTCAATAGTAGACAGTCTAAGGTTAAAGTTAAACTGGACTGCCATTTGTCAGAAATGGTGTTGGGTCTCCTGCCTGGGTGGGGAGTTGGACTAGATGACCTACAAGATCCCTTCGAACTCTGATTATCTGTTAAATCTGTTAAAAGTTCATGGATTGTAACATAATGTTGTGGATTAGGTATTTGCTGTGTGCTTCCTGTTTTCTTTTGTGGGCAAACACAAAAATGTGCATTGTCCATGGCCACCCATAGATAATTCCTGTTGTGCTTTTATGGACAGAGTGCCACTTACAAAAGCATGATGCATGACCATTTAGAGATATTCCCGCTGTTATGGTTGTTGAGATTTTCCAGCAAATTATGCTTTTGTATGTTGAGCTTTTCCAGCAAACAGCCAAATACAAAAAATGTGTGTTGTATATGTGAATAATAGATGCATTGTTATATTTGTTGAGCATTTGAGCTGACAAATGCACAATTGTGCTGCTTTTTTGTTTGTTTGTTGCATAACTGCCAAGTATGCTGTGCCTGCATAGAACAAGGTCTCAAGCTAATAGATTTTTCCTGTGGATTCATGAGCATATATTTCCCATTTCTGGGTTCAGTTCTTTGCTGCTTGTGCAAGCAACATTCAGGCTTTAGAAATGTTTTTAAGTATTGCTTCTACAGTAGGCTATAAAAATACTTACAATAATCTACTCCGCCAATTTTTCTGAACATTGCATGATAGTTACTACTTAGTTTTGTTTATCATTGACTATCTTGCTTCCAAGCTGGAAAATTAAGAAAGCAACTGGTTTGTTTACCATAAATAGTGGAAGTTTCAAAATGTTTCAAGCTTCCTTTGGTCTGAACTTAAGACATTTGAAACATTCTAACTGAATGTGCCAATTGTTTCACAATTTGTTTTACAGATTTATTTTTGTTTTGCACAAGCTCTTTGGGGAAGGAGATACAAGTAGTCCTTGACTTACAACAGTTTACTTAGTGATGGTTCAAAGTTATAACAGCACTGGAAAAAGTGACTTACGACCATTTTTCACACTTATGACTGTTGCAACGTCCCCATGGTCATTTTTTTTTATTAAAATGCAGCAACAAAAATATTCTTTCCACCAATATCAATATTTTACTTTTTATAGATTTTAAAAAGAAGATAAAAGAAATTGTACTCAAAGTTTGCATACCCATGGCTGTCTAGTCTAATATTTCCAACAAAGTCATAGAGATGTCTATTAGGACTTTCACATTCAATTCTGCCTGAAAGTCTCACCAAGTTGTCAATGTCCTTTATATCAGAGGTCAGTGGTAAGCCCTGTTTGAACAAAAGTTTTGGAAATGCAATAGTGAAAAATTAAGAATAAGTAACACAAGGTTACATATGTTTACATCTGTTAATTTATTAGTTGCATTCACTGGTAATGGCCAATCATTGTATACCATGATGTGTATAAGCAAATTCATCCTGCAGCAAATTCAACCATTAGCTTCAGTTTCACAAGCTCTTTTTCTCCTTAATTCCATATAATTATCAAGGCATTGAAAACTGACTCATTTTTATGTAACAGCAGGATGTCATATTGTTTGGAGCAATAAACTGGGCCTCATATGAATTATTGTCAGCTAGAAATACACAGAACTTTATATATATAACTAAGCCTATATTTTTAATTATTTTAAATGGTTCACAATAAAGTTAAAGCCAGAAAGGAAAGATTCAGAAATATCACTCTAAGTCAAATACAAAATGCATGATGACTGATTAAACTTGCTATGTAGTTGCTAATAACTGTTGATATTTGCCACAATTCTACTATGCACAGCTGATGTGACAAATTTAAGACAACTAAAAGCAAAATTTCAAATGTATCTTCTCTGCACTAACTGCATTCACACATGAATATTGCACTATCCCTAATTATTTATCAGCTGATTAGATATAACATGTTCATATTTTAATTATACATTTACATTATAAAAATTCTGTTTATCTTTTTATAAATGATACTGTTCTTTTCTTTTTCTTCCTCCCTCCCTGTTTGTCTGCAGTGCCCAATTTTCTATGTAAGGTTTTTCACAAAATTGGGTATAAAGTCAAATGCCTAATAAAACTGAAAGGATTCAGAAGACTGCAAACATAAAATTGAAGCGTTATTAATTTTTATACTTGCATTCTGAAAATGCATACACAGAAGGAATATACATTTGCAATATTTTACAGGTAAAACCAGGTTTCTTAAATTGCAGATGCTTCTTTATCTAAATAACAGACTAACATCAGTGATATGCAATACATTTTGGATCAGTGCCTACATCTCTTGAAGATTTAAATGAATGTTCCTATCCCTTAATGCAGTTTTTTCCACTTTAAGTTTCTGCTTCATACTGTGACCTATTATGCACTGTGAATTATCTTGGAGCAATAGATGCTCCATATCAACACACATATGACAACAGAGAGGGGAAAATGTACTTCTTACCTGTCGTATTTTTAAATTAGTTTCACCATCTAAATTTGATGTTTCAATGTAGCACATAGCTTGAGGTTCACTGAAAGAAAAGAGAAGATCCATTTTATAAATTAAGCAGCCCAGAATCTAATTTCACTGAAATACAACATCATTCTTTAGTTTATATTATTGTCATTAAAAAAATTACTAGTAATTTACATTTTCAGAAAATAGCCCTCAAAATATGTAAAGAAAATAATCCATATTGCCTTCATTAATGCACCGGTAGAAACTCACTGATTCCAGATCTTAAAATCGCATTGCCAAGGTTTTAGGCAGAAAAAGCAGGCTAAATAATTTGACAAGGAACTAAGCTTGCAATCCATAAGTTTGAATAACATAAATTCTCAGGTTTTTTTTTTTAAATAAATAAAGTAACACAAAATAAACAATTATGCAGCATATAGGAAGTCCTTGACATAGGACTGTAATTGAGCCCAGAATTATGATTATAAAACATTGCAATCACAAAGCAGGCCAATAAGTGACTATCCCTGATTTTATGACTTTTGTGGCAGTCGTTAAACGAATACGGCAGTTATTAAGCAGATCTGTTTTATCCAATGGCGGTTTTTTGCTGGAAGCAGGAAGTAACTAGCAAAAAAATGACAACCATCACAGGCAACATAATTGTAATTGAATGCACTGTATTGTAATTGTATTGTAATTAAATGCATTGTACCAGTGTATCTCCCCAAAAACATGTTAATCTTGCATTTATGTCATATATTTAATAAATTTTGAATATTTAGTAAAGTTGAAAAGCATGTCCATATTTAAACAGAAATTTCTTCAATTTACACTTACTTTTTAAAGGACAGTTTTTCTGAAAATGTAATTGATCGGTTACAAATTAGCATGAGAATTATTTCAGTTTTAGTATATGAAACTTATTTAAATCTGGACATATTTCACATGACTTAACAAATATATGATGTGTTTGCAATCCTTTACACATTCATCTAGGGGTACATCTACTCAATTCAAACTAGTTTAGTTTTGAATAATCATGTATGTATAGGATTGCACTGGAAAGCTATCAAATTATGTACATATAATTTAAAATAAGCCCTATTTATCAAATTGGGCTTACACTTGAGTGAATATTTTCTGAAGAACATTGAAAATAAATAAGCAGAATATCACAGATCAGGAAAATATGTTTCATTACAGAAATTACTATATATTGACATTCATCTCTCTAAATAAATCAAATCAATGATGGCAAACAAAATGCAATCCAAGTACAGACACTATATAAAAACTGCTTTTACGGAAGTAGCATGCTGTTCATCCATCAATAAATCCAAATACATGCAATATAAAACATGCAACATTTAGATCTGTGCTGTGGGTCTTCTATAATTCTCAAAATATATCATTTGTTCACATCAAAAGTTGTATAAAATTATTGAAAACATGAAGTTCTCAATGGTATGATTTATGATCAAATGATTTATTCATATTTCATGTTTCTAGACAGGCCATCTTACTCAAGGGAGTTGAGTCTAAAACTTTAGATAGCATCTATACAATAATTTCATCAAAACATTTTAGTCATTGGTTTATTTTATAGAATAAATCTGGAGGTAGATCAACTATTTTTGTATTAAGTGGAATCCTAAGCCTCTTGACTTATAAGTAAGTCCAATTAATTTCAGCAGACTTTATGCTGAAGTACATGGGTGTCTAATTGCACAGGCGGCTTTTATAATCATACAGATTAGTTTAGACAAAGTCAAACATTCCCTTTTATTTCCATTTGAAGGAATGTTTGTACATAATAAAACATTCTGCAATGTGTTCATAGCAGAATCCTTTTCTGCCTCGGTTTAATAGAAGGACCCAGAAACACACTTATTCCAGAACTGATTCATTCTAACCTTGAGGACAGACTGATGAGGTCAGCTGGGAAATGCTCCCCATTGGTCACCTTCACTATTTCCCCCACTGCAACCTTTACCAGTTTTGAAATAATAGTAATTATAACAGAATAATAAATAAAAGAGAAGAAATCAAACAGATTAAAAAAAGAAGAAGACAGAAAATTGAAATTATTATATAAAGCGTGTTAAGGAACAGCTGACATCTTCCCCCCCATAAAATCTATTTAATTTGGATCAGAAAAATGTGTTATTTAAAATATTTTTAGAGACAGCAAAAATAACCCTATAATGTGGAAGTCAAAGCGTAACTTGTCAAGTGCTGGGAAATCAGGAGATTCAGGCAGTTCAAATAAGTATAAAGATTTATTGCAAGCTACAAGAATCTGAGCAACTAACAGTCAAGGGAAATGAGCGGGAGATAAGAAGGCATTTAAGATGGACTGGACTTAGATGTCTTGCGGGCGCGCAGGGACTCGCAACTTATGAAGTGTTTGACCCCTCCCTCAGGCTCACCCAGGTCATCTCCTACAGTAATACAAATTCATAGTATTAGAAAGGAAATACAAAATAATTATTTAACTTTAGCAAAATAATAAAAACAATCTGTAAAAGGAATGGAGGGAAATCTCTTGGTTTCCTTTTCAGATACTAGGAAACTCCTTTAACAGAATTAATAAATACTGGAATTCATGGTTGTTCCACAATACTAGAGAGGTACTCTGATATTTCTAGAAATTCAAATTCAGCACATCTACCAGGAAGGCATGATATAGACGGGAATCAAATTGCCATACCCGCACCAATTTCTTCATAGAAAATAACAAAATAGTGTGAGGTGTCAGCTTCTATTTAGAAAGGAAAAGCCTACTTATACAAGAATTGCATATGCTAAAAATCTTCAGGTAGGGGGAGTAAAAAATAGTCTCTTTAAATATTTGTATTTGAAGATAATGACCCAATCAAATAGATTTTGGAGGGAAAAATGTTTCATATATTGAGTTGTCCAAGGAAACACAGATAAACAAGATTAAATTTTACAGGGATGAAATTTTGAATTCTGAAAGCATGAATTGAGGGTTTAAAAAAAAAACACTTAGAACATTATATTCTCAGGAAAATGTCAATAACATTTTGCAATGCTTCAATATTAAGACAACATTGTGCCGCAAACTATCATTTTATTTTCAATTGATATATTTGGGGTGATAAATTAAATAAAATTAGGAGGGAAAGCTTCTGAGTTCCAAACTATGAAAGAAAAGATAATCAGATGCACTGGAGAGCCCAGGACTTTATTCATTAGAAGTAGGCCTTCCTTAGCAATAATTAATATATCCAACATTTCTGTTTATTCTTTATTTCCTTGGTGCAATTATGGATCAAAGTTGGAGAGAGAAAACAGATTCTATTCTGGAAGCATTGATAGCATCGCTACCTTGATGAGAGAAGTACAATGTCAGCAGGTATATATTCTTTGCCTTTTATTAAAACTATATCTCCAACATCTACCTGAAAGAAAACTGGGAATTGGTTAATGGTCTGAAACTAGCAGAATAATCCTTTCCTTTGCTGCACTTAAGTACGTACTGTGTAATTGATAGTATATAAGAGATTTAAAAACCTTAGATAAGGCATTCTCATCTAAGTATAGTTTTTCTCCCATGTAACAGAATGACCACATTTCTATTTTCATTTTATGACAGAAAGTAAAGCACCATTTCCTCATAACAAAACATAATGATCTGTTTTGTTACTTGGTATAAATACAAAAGACATCTTTGTAGTCAGTCAGCTCTTCACCTTATTTAGATCGTGTTGCACAGTCTGACAGTAATCCTCCAAGAATTAAAAACTTTGAGTTGACTTCACTACATACATTTTACTAATGAATTATGGGCTGCTGTAGCACTTGTGCAATCACAAAATTACAACAATTTGGAACGTCTTTATTGGCTAAGAAATAAAGTTTATATAGCATAGAATCTGTATCTATATAAAATTGATTACTAGAGTAACTTGAAGAATTTCTACTTAGAAATAATCCCCACTTAGTTCAATGAAATTGGCTTCTACGTGGGCAAATATAGATTTATGGTTGTCATGAATTAAAAATATCTAAAATGAATTTGTATTACAGTTCTCCAGTGCTTATTTTCCCCTGAGTAAACACTGCAATCCATAATGAATGAAGGCACTTATAAGAACAATTAGAAGACTATTCTATGCTAAACAAGAGAGGTAATATTTTTAATTCTTAATTATAATGTTGTTAGCACTATGGTTACATTTACAGGTTTAAACAGATAAGATACACGTCCATTTTATTTGAGTCAGCTCATTTGATTCAATGTATTGTGAGAATCCAGGATAATTATGCTGTGTGAAAATAACTAGGGTTGGATTAATATGATAGGGAAATGGCAATTTTGAGAACTACTGGCATAGAATAATAAACTATTATTTTGCTTAAATCTTCTGTGTATCAGAGCATACAAATTAACCCTTTAGGGATCAAATGCACATTGAATTATTATGTAGGCAATAAAAATAAATCAGAATTTTCAATAAAACAATTAATGACAATTTAATCAGTACATTTAATCCTTTTAATGATAATCTATTCAATATGGTAAACACGAACATTTAATTTATTTGGTGTAATTCACTGTAACGTTATATAAAGATTTAGATCCAGAATTACTCTTCTCTGAGCAGAACTGCTTATATCTTATGTTACCTACAGGTAGTCCTCGTCTTATGACCACCATTGAACTCAAAAGTTCTGTTGTTAAATGAGTTTTGCCTCATTTTATGACCTTTCTTGCCTCAGTTGTTAAGTTAGAGATTGTTCAGGGAAACTGGCTTCCCCATTGACTTTGCTTGGCAAAAGTTTGCAAAAGGGGGAACATGTGACCCCGGGACATTGCAATGGTCATAAATATGAACCAATTGCCAAGCGTCTGAATTTTGATTAGGAATTTTTATTATTTAATAGCCGTAAGTGTGAAAAATGGTTATAAGTCACTTTTCTCAGTGCCGTTGTAACTTCAAATGGTCACTAAATGAAACTTCTGTAATTCGAAGACTACCTGTAGTAGGTTATATCACTGAATATAAAATGCTGAGATAATTTTTATAGTGGGTGGTGCAAAACGCTGCAAACACTATTAAATAACTTGACAACAAACATACTTCAGAACAGCATTTATCACACACTGTTGTCTGTTCAATTCTTTGGATCTAAATCGTAATTATACTTTACAATAAAAAAACCACATACCTTTTCCCAGTGTACAATCTCCCAAGCTCCATTTCTCAATACTGCATCATGAAAAGCAACAATAAAACCACAAATGTTCCATTAAATCCAAATGATTTTCTACTGATTTAACATTTGCTCTAAGATCCAATTATACAGAAACATTATATTCCAAAAAGACAAAATGAAACCATGTGGGAACAAAAGTTTATTCTATCAAAATTTTATTTTACTATCAACAGAATTCTGAATATAAACCCGTTCATTCGTACAAGACTTTTGTCAGTCTTTTTGCTTACTTTTTTTCAACTTTTTGGCTAAAGTGCTCTCTTTTTCAAGTACATAGTTTGTGTTTAGCTACCACAATTGAGACCGGAAACTCGGTGGTCAACAGAAGTGAAACCCCAACTATGCTTGTGATCTTAGAGGTAGTCCCCTTAACTTGTGACCATAATCGAGCCAAAAATTATTGTCATAAGCTGAACCATCATGTGACGTGGTTTTTTTTGACATTTTTGTGGTGGTTGCTAACAACCGCAGCAATTGTTAAGTGAACCCATATCCCCAAGGGCTGGGTTTTGCTGAAAATACAAGTAAATGCCAAAAAAAGGCCACAAATTGCAGTCACATGACTGCAAGAAGCTACCAATGACTATAAAAGCGAGCCGGTTGTCATATCTGGAGATATTCGGGTTGCAAATACACCATTTCCTTTGGTTTAATCAAGACTAGAAGCTTCTATTTGGCTGAGGATTTGCAATCCAGTAAACAGTGATGTTTAAAGCCAGGCCAGCTATTTTTGTAATCACTGAATCATGCTTCAAAAATTCTTGTGGATAGTATACATTACAGATAAACTACCGACTGAAAGCTGGATATCATATTCTGAAAATAGTTAATAGTTTTTCAGTCAAGCATTGAATATACACGTGTATACACACACACATTCAATGCTTGACTGAAAACTATTAACTGTATACACACACACACACATTCACATTCATTTACAATTTCTTGTTTATACTTTGAACACCATTTAGATTCACTGCCATGAGATTCTGAGTGGCTATATAAATCATATAAATAAATAAAATGACATAAAATGGAAAACTTTATATGACTTCATTTTTACTGACTGAACAGTTAAAAATGATTATATATGAAGCTTCCTACCTTGTATTTCCTTTTTATTCACAGCATTATCAGCTTTCTGCCTTTTCTGAAACACATAGATTTTTACACTACTAGTATGGAATACTTTAAATATTAGGCAAGTTACAGTACATATGAAAGTAAATTATAACTAGGTTCACACAACATGCATAACAAATCAAGTTAGAGAACTAGTGCCTGCATATGCACAAGATACCACATTTGGTAATTTTTTTTTTTTTTTTTGTGATTTATACTTCATGCAAACCCTTCAGGCAGAACTTTTAAGTTTTTTTAAAAAAGCACTCTATTGTCCAGGCAGACTGCAGAGAGCATCCTAAAATTGATAATTTGCTATGGGATTTGTTCAAAATAATTTTTTTCAAAACATCTTCCTTTTGTCCTATATAGATGGACAAAAAACTGTGGTCTTTGGATAAAGAACAACATAGCAAGAACTTGTTTCCATTATTCTCTAAAGATTTGGGGTGCCATTGGATCCTGGAGAGGACTGAGGAGGAGGCTGAGACCTGCTGAATGGGAAGCAAACCCCAAGGGGGAACCTGGGGGAGGAATAGACGGTGTGTGTGTGTGTGTGTGTGTGTGTGTAAGTGCTGAAGTATTTCTGCAGTGCCTCTTAAGGATTGATGCCTGAAGAAGTGCTGCAGCAGCTGTAACTTTGAAATCTGTAAGTAAGTAGCTTTTGGGGTATCTGCTGTAAGTCGAGGATTCCCTCTACTGAACAATGAAAATGCTTCAGTTAATAAAAACCACAGGAAGTGCTAGGCCCCTGGGAGGTGGAGAAAATCTATAGCATTTCTGTTTGTAGATTTCCTTCGCCTAAGGGCGCATCATCATCATCATCACATGTGTTGCGTGTATAAAACCAGAAATGCATGCTCCTTAACAAAATGTGAGGGATTTTTTGTTTATCTGTTAAAAAAAAATCAAAATGAGTATATTTGGTTGATGTCCCTTTAAATTTAAACATATATCTTATTGGGAGATGAGTAATTAGTTTAAAGTTATGTTGGAAATATTTTGCTACTTACAATATCTTCTATTATTTCTTTGACTGCTGCTACAACTAAAATAAATAAGAGAGGAACCAATGTTGTATACCGTCCTGTTGGAGAAACATCTGGAATTTGCTAAAGCATAAAAAGAAAAGTGCATTTTAATATTAGTCACATTGGTTAATTGTATGAAAATATGTTCAATAAAATGTGATAACTGCAGAATCCACTTGAATGCTAATGAGGAAAATTTCTCAAATAGGTAACTAATAATTACAATGGTTAAATTAACTATTATCTACCCTAGTTACAATTAACTGTTTCTTAATAAACATTGTATATTTATAATCACCAAAAATACATTCCAATACTGATAGTAATTTGAAAGTTTTAGGCATTATTGATCCATCTGGACTAAACTGTGAACTCAGGAGAAGTTTCATTGTCAGTTTGATTTCAGGTAATCCAAATTCCTTTTATCATAACTTAAATGATTTAAAAACTTGCCTGGCAATAAGTCTATATAAAGTATTGATACTACTAAAGGCCCGTGTCTTTAAACAAATTATCCCAGAATGTTTATTTATCCCAGAATAAAAATGTGTAATGTGAAAAAGTATTACATTTAATCTCATTATCCTTACAGCCTTTAATACAATAAATATTACAGTGTAGAACTAGAATGCAAATAAAGCCTGTCATGAGATCAAAGAAGTCAAATAACAACTTTCTAGCTGAGCATTTACTAGTCTTTTTACTTGTTATATTATGTATTATAGAAACACAGAATTCAAAACACATGCCCAATTACAAAGTTCAGTCAGGAGGATTAAACTCCTTATCACATGACAGATAAAACTTAGATTTACAGGAGTTGATCTTTCCTATACAACAAACACTTACATCATAAACATTCTTTATTATACCGATCATTAAAGGACAAGAAGAACTGGTAAAGCAACTTTCAGTTTAAAGTTTAGTACAGTAATACATGTGTTTCGGAAAATATTGCTTACATTCTTCAAAAACGATTTGGAAAAGGTGTTTTGGACGTCACTTGAGTACATCTCTTTGTTAATGATTAAAGTGGGGTGCCCCCCTGATTTTTGGGTGATTCTCAAAAAAGATGATGCTGTGAAAGAATCTACTTATTATAAACTGAATGCAAATCTTAAAGCATTTTTTCTCATAACCTGGTAAATGTCAGGGAAAGTCCCTGATAAGTACCTCTGCTTCTGCTGGGCCCAGGACACTTCTTAGGAATCTTTTCATAAGAAAAGTGAGACAATATATTTGTTTGTTTGTTCCATTTCCATGGCCACCCAACTCAGCCAATCTCTCTGAGCGGCTTACAATTAAAAATATACATTATAGTTAAAAATATTAGAGTTTAAAACAATAAAAACAATAAAACTGTATAGCTATATTGAGAGAGAAAAATAATCTCACCCTAGTTTAAAATCTGACTCCCTAAGAAGTTCTGAGATTTTATCTGAACTTAAAGACATTGCATAATGAAAGCCTGCAACCACAGAGGACATTACAATTTTATGATGTCTAACAATTAAATGTTACTGGAGGATAAAGGGAGGGAGGGAGCAAAGCACTTGAATGCATTCTTACCTGAAGCAATGCAATGAAAAGAAAAAAGGCATTAGCAGCTCTCCTGAACTGGGAATAGAGGAACCTAGGCAGGAATGTGATAACGTTGTATTTTGCAGTGCTAAGAGAGAGGAATTAAAAATACACAGAGTTAAGGGAAAGACATAAAAACAGATAAAATATGCAATCAGAGTACATTAAGAGAGATTTTAAGAATTAATGCAGTATATGTCTAAATATACATAACTTCTGAGAGACCTGAGGACCTCAGAGTCTTCCTCTTCCTTCTTCCTTTAAACCCTCCACCCTTCTAGCCAGCCATCTTATCTGTCTGCAAGAAAACAGCTAAGCTCAGAGAGAATCAAGGACCCCACCATAACTTGTAACAAATCAGAGACATCCATGGGTGAAGTTTAAGGACATACATGGTTAAAGGAAGCACAAGCACCACTCTTTCAATGTGCAGGTAGTGATATTGCACACACGCAACAGGTCAGAGCTAATGATGCAATGGCAGAACAGTGCTTTGGCTTTCAATGAGAGTTGTGTAAGTTAATTGTACAAAACTTTGGTTACAAATACCTGACGTGATTGCTACAGAACTTAGAGAATTGTGGTTGATTGATGAATATAGTTCTCACTTCTTCTTGATCAGCTAATGAGGTTTTTTCCGAAACATCATCTGTCTTCTCATAGCCTAAAAAATATTAGAAATCTAATATGTACATTTAAATTCCGTGATGATTTAAATGAAAATAAAAAGCATTTTTAAACATAGTGAGAAATGCAAAAAAAATAGTATACACTATTGTATCATTTGTACTGATAAAATTAATATTTTTAATTCCCATTTTAAGATAATTACATTTTTTAATCTTTTCCTGCTCTGTTAGTGACACGTTCAGGTATATTTTTCCAGGTACTCAAGGCATTTAAACTAAATATTTTGACTTGACAAGAGAAATTACATTTTATGTACTTTAATTGTTATTTATGTTACAATAGTTGCAGCCTGTTCCAAGCTTAGTATACTCTGCCCAGGGACTTACTTGTTGTTAAAAGTTTTACATGGTTAAATCTTGCAGCTCTCAAAAGTTTTCAGTAGTATAAGCCAAAATAATAACAATAATAATATGCAGTTAAAATCAAAAATAAATGCCAAGATAACTAAAAGCATTACAATAAAAAGTATCAATAATTTTACTGACGGACAATATTAGGTAACATCACTCCTCCAAAGTCTTGTAGAATATCTCAATCTTGACTGATCATTGGTTCTTTTTACGCTATGTTCAATCCTTGCCTTTCTACTTCCTTCCTCCTAGACCCTTCCTTTTCGAGGAAAAAACACTTCTCTCTTCCTCTAGCTGCTTTAGTTCAAAGACAAACACGCCTTCCTTCTTCTCTCTCCCCCATATCCTCAACTGTTTCACAGCAAAGCTTTTGTAGACAACTCTGCCTATTAAGGTTGTACTATCCTCTAGTACTCTGGGAAGACTATTCCACAGGGTGGAGATCACGAAAGAGACCACTGCCTCTGAGCCATTAATTTAATCTGTTGTGAATCAATGATACCCAACATTTTCAGCTGAAATGAGCACGTTGGATTGATTGCTTCTACCCGGAGGTGTTCCTACCTAGAAGCAAAGCACTCAAGCACTTTAAAAGTTAAAACTATCACTTTGCGTGCATTAAGAAACCTGTTGGGAGCAAACATAGTACCTGGAATATAATTATGAATATAGGTATCCCGTAACTGCTTTGCCTGTCAGGGTGCAGACAGTTGCACATTACACAACTGGGGCTTCCAAGTAACTTCCAAAAGCAAACCCATATAGAGCACCTTGCAATAGTCTATTGTCATGTTGATAAGACTTTGAGTTACTACCATTTTCTTGCTTCGGGAAAGGGTTATACAGCTGGAGTACAAAGTTGGGTAAAGGCCTCCCCAGTTATACTCACTATCTCTTTACCAAATAGTAGTTGTCCTGAGCTTAAAACACTTTGAATCACAGTCCTGCCTCCTTATAAATGGAGCAGAGGGAAAACTAGATAATTGTTGGGAAAACGGAATTCTGTTTTGTTAGGATTAAACTTCAACTTTGTTTTCTCGTAGAGCTTTGTCCTACTTCCAAATACCAAGCCAGGATTTCGGCCTACTATACCTCCATTGTACTTCATTGTACAGGTAGTCCTCATTTCATTTATTCATTTCATTTTCCACAGTTCATTTAGTGACTGCTCAAAGTTACAGTGGCGCTGAAAAAAGTGACTTGTGATTGTTGCAGCAGCTCCATGGCCACGTGATCAAAATTCAGAGGCTTGGCAACCGACTCCTATTTATGACTGTGGCAAGAAAGGCTGTAAAATGGGGCAAAATTCACTTAATGAATGTCTCACTTAGAAACATAAATTTTGGGCTCAATGGTGGTCATAAGTCAAGAAATACTTGTAGTTATGCAGCCCTTAGATCAACAATTAAAGACAGAGAAGGTTGAGTCCAATTAAGCAGTCAAAAAAAAGGTGAAGAAATATTAATTTGATATGCTGGCAATGTTTCACTCAGGCGTCACCTGAAAGATTAAAACATCTGAAACATTCAAAGAGGAATTGAAAAACTTTGAAGTTGGTTTAGGCCTACATGTTAACTTGTATGTTTTAATATTTTGTTAGAGGAAGCAGACACATTTTTTTAAAAAGATTAGATATTATTTTGTATAATAAGCAGATTAGATATTTGCATACTGAGATTACAAGCAACCTGAATAAATGGTTTCATGCTAATTATACTCCATTGTGGATATATACTTGCCAAATAGTTAAAAAAAAAGAATAAATCTGAATTAAAGTAGTAGAATAATAGCTGTGAAAATAATGCTCCTTCTGAACCTTTTGTTGCAGAAGGGGGTTTGTGCTACAGTCAGATAATTGATAAGCAGCTGAATAAGGGGGAAATTTACAAAACTATAGTTTTGTAAAAGGATCCAAACATAAAAGCAACCTTCAGTAGCACGCAGAACTGGGAGAGAGAGATGAAATGTAATTTACATAAAACTCTATTATAAGGACTATCAATACACCCTTTGGTCTCTAATAAGGTATCCTAAAAAGCTGTAAGTTCAAATTGAGGTTGTAGATATAAATAACAGATCAGTATAACACCATATTTTAAGTACTCCTCAACTTACAACTCACTCATTTAGTAACCAAAGTTGCAATGGTGCTGAAAAAGTGACTGACCATTTTTCACACTTATGATCATTGCAGTATCCCCATGGTCACGTGCTCAAAACTCAGATGCTAAGCAACTAGCATGGATTTATGATGGTTGCAATGTACCATGATCATATAATCTCCTTTTAGAACCTTCTGACAAGCAAAGTCAATGGGGAAGCCACATTCACTTAATAACAATGTTACTAAGCTAATAACTGCAGTGATTAATAACTGGGCAAGAAAGGTCATAAAATGGGACAAAACTCACTTAACAATGGTCTCACTTAGCAACATAAATTTTGGACTCAATTGTGGTCATAAGTCAAGGACTACCTATAAAAGAATACAGTCCTTTTTAGAGAAATTGATAATAGATGTTAAAAGTGCAATTGAAATGAGACATGTGAAATCAAATCTATGTTATAAAATACAAAGTACAGGGATGAGAATCCTATTATAAAAGAGGCTTTTTTTCCTGTTGACTGCAAAATGAATTCTTGTTTCTCAGTTAGAATGATACAGTTTTAAAAAGCAAAATAACAGTACTAAGATTCTAACCGAATTAAAAAATATAGCTTAAAGCAGGCAGAAGAGAACCAGAGTGAATTTGATATCAGTTAATTTATAAAAAAACATTTTGATGATGATTTGTGGTACCTTAATAAAACATGAGAGATAAATTGAGAAATTTAGAGTAGAAAAAAAATTACCTTATAAATCTATTTGTCACAAATACAAGAAATGTCAAAGTAAATCATTCAAGTGCAATATAATATTCCAGGCAAGATGACTATATATTAATAAAACAATCATGATGAATCATTCACAGGATGAGTTGAAGAACTAAAGCAATATATATTTACCTATTGTGGACCTACAATCAAGAAAGTGATTTTCAAGAAAAACTGGGAAATTGAAATGATTCCTCAGCTAGCATTATTAAATACTTTTGTCCTACAAATGCATCATTAAAACATATAAATGTTGATACAGTTGAGTGGTAACAGCTTAGCATTTGTTAAGTTTTGAAAGAACTTGGTTATAGCAAATACAATAAACCAGAGCAGGGATGAAATTTGTAGTTGGGTAGCTTTTAGAGTTTTGTTCCTTACATTTGCAGTGACAAAATGGGCATAGAATACAGATAGTCCTTGACTTACAACCATTCATTCAGTGACTGTTCCAAGTTAAAAACTCATTTAACAAACGTATCCCCTAGCAACAGAAATTTTGGGCTCAATTGTGGTTGTAAGTTGAGGACACATTGTCGCGGACTAAAACATTGCCTCCTTCCAGACCAGTAGCATACCACGTATACTACAGGCTGATACTATGCCAGTACCTAAGCTAATCGATAAGGATTTTTTCAACTACAACACTTTGCAGATATTATACAATTAGTCATTTTCAAACTAAAGTTTCTGATAGACACTCAAACTGAAAAGTAATTATTCAACAGTCACTGGATTTAAAATTGTACTTTGTAGTTCTATTTATTAAACACTATCTTTTCTTCCCTAAAGCATCAATTTGGCAAACAAACTCAAATATCTTATGAGACAGAAGGGGCTGAAGGACAAAAGGCAGTAAAAAAACAGCTTTTTAATGGGGATTATCAGAAGAGACCAAGGTTAAAGATCTCCACCCCCTGCAATCCTAATTTGGACTTCTGTGAAAAAAGAGGCTGTTCCTCCTACCAGCAATCTTGATCAAGAGCAATGAAGAGGTTTTAACCTCATTTCCAGCTTCAAATTTCCTTCAGCAAGCATCACTGCAAGCATCATCAAGTTTTATGTGGCTTTCAGATAATAATTAGAATTTCCCAAGGCCCACTATCTCGTACTGTTTGAAGAAAACAAAATGAAAACTAGATACAGGTAGTCCACAACTTATAACAATTCATTTAGTCACTGTTCCATGTTACAGCGGCATTGAAAAAAGTGATTTTGACCGTTTTTCACACTTACGGCCACCCCCTAGCCACGAGAACAAAATCCAGATGCTTGGCAACTGGTTCATATTTATGTCCTGGGGTCATGTGATCAGGCTGTGACCTTCTGACGAGCAAAATCAATGGGGAAGCCAGACTCACAACAACCGTGTTATCACTTAATAACTGAGGTGATTCAACAGTGGCACGAAAGGTTGCAAAATGGGGCAAGGCTCACTTAACAAATGCCTCCCAGAAAGAATAGGCTTAATTGTACTGCCCATTCAGTCCCAAAGCTTCTTGCAGCTTCCTACTTTCAGTCTTTTCTTAAAACAACAAAATGCTATACAGCCTTGTCCTTCTGAAAAGAAAAATCTGCCTGAGTTACAAGTAACTTTTGATCCCATTTGCTTCCCGAGTAATCTTTGTATCCCATTCCTTTCAATGGCTGAGCTCACATGATTGATAAAAACAGATGGAAGCAAAGTTTATCAGCCTCACTGCTCAAGAAGAGAAGAAAATTAATAGAACATGCCCAAATGGCATTTTTGTAAAACTAAAAATAAATGATGAGCATGTGCATTTTATATTTCACAAACAGCTTTATTTCTTTTTTAATTTAGAGCGGTAAAAAAAAGTAAGCACATTATTTAAAATGCTGTATTCAAAAATACAATAATTTATTCAGATGCATCTTTCCATAGTAATACACTCAACTCTACTTATATAATAAACATTAGGTACTAACACTAATAACTACAAGGAAGTCATTAGTAAAACTAATAGAGAAACAGAATATTGGACTCTGCTAAGAATTTTAAATAATATATTAGTTTACAAAGTCCAATAAACGTACATTTTTACTGTACTTATATTAGTACCGGTATTAATTAGATTTATTATCAGAAATGATTTATGAAGTAGATTCTTTTCAGATATTAATATCTAATATCTGAGGCATATATTAATATGCTTTTTCACAATTATGTAAGCATATTCACATCTTTTAATACTGTAATGATGGTTGTAGGTGTTTATCAAATTAATGCTAAGAAATATTCTATGCAGAAAAAGGGATACAACAGAAATATTTATGGTGGAATAAAGCATGACAAAAGCTTTTATCACAACATTTTGCTTAGTGCTGTATTACAGCAGATATATACAGAACTTTCTCTTTCTTGCATCAGCAGAACAAAAAGAAAGCAACCTTCATTGCAGATACGCTGGTTATAAAAATAAACTTCACATTAAGAACTCTTGATTGTGTATTTCAGACATACAAATTAGCGTAGTTCTATTTTTGACAAATTGAACTAGTACTGTCAATGTGGAATGCTGGAATTGAACAGGACTGAACTGTTCATCGATTTCTTATTTACATTAAGAAAGGTTGGGTTGGGTTTTTAAGTTTTGCCTACCAAGCTCCAAAAATTGAAAAAAAAAATCTAATTAAAGAAGTAGAATAACAATTTTCATTAAGTGAAGTACAATCTATGTTTAAAATGCATGGTGGCATCTAATTTCATTTTAAATATACAATATAAACTGAAATTATGACGTTTGATTATTAAAAGAAAACAAATTATCCAATGCTTTTGATCAGGGTAGGAAAATGTTTGCAAATTTCCCCCCATATTGCAAGAGAGTTCCATTATTCAGTGTAATATCGTTCGTAGAGGAACAGCTTTCTGCTCATCTAAATCTGAACCCTGGCATGGAATGGAATGGAATGAAACTGCATTATATACACTGACGAGATTTGGAGGTAGGCTAACAGGAGCTGCTCATTTGATCACAAATCTAAGGGATTCAGTCCAGAATGGGTTGTTTTCTCTTATTCCCACTCATACTGCAGAGAAAACTGAGCAATACGACATGAGACCATGAGATGTAATCTCACTGTGTTCAGCCAGGGTTTTCCATTTACCTTCTGCTCAGGATGGTCTTCCCTATAGTACAAATGCATCTCTTCATATGGATTCCTTCAACTTCAGCCACAACCCGGGCAAGAACAAGGCTGAGAGAGATACACCTGAGATGCTGTATATCTCATAAATTATCAAAGGCTTCAGCAGCCAAAACCTCTCAGCTTCAAATGTTAGCGACGTATCATTCTCTAAGAGCAATAATTCCCTTCAATTTGTTTTAGGCTATTATGTCCTTTTATTACAGTAAAGATGAGTTAACATCTTTCCTAATACCCCAACATTCCAGATATTGAGGAATCTGTAGATATTTATCAGCATTTCTCAGGCCTAGGATTACCAAATCTAATCTCTATCATCATCTTATTCTGTGTTTCCTTGTAACATAAACTAGTCCAGAAAACATCTAACAAACAGCAAAAGCCATGAACATAGAACTGTAACATTCCAGGGAAAGCCACTTTCTACTGTTCTTGTGAAATATGACGCAAAGTTAAAGTAAAAAGGTAAAGGTTTTTCAGTGACACTTCTATAGCCTTCAGATCCATTCAAGAATATCCAACCCTGACCTGCTTAGTTTCCTCCCCCCACTAGGTGCTGCCATCCCCTAAGACCACCATGAAATATGATTGATTACTGGCATTTGCATGAAACACATGACTATTTAATTATGGGGAAAGAGCTGTTAGTTGTTTGGGAAAAGAAACCCAATTCAGGAAGGAGGAGGACCAAAAGATGGAATAGCGAAAAGCAGACACCAAGAAATGATGGTTATTTTCCCATTAGTGACTCAGTGTTTTCTAGGAGCCAGACAATTGAAAATGGGCATCCGAGGTGGTCAAAATAGTCAAAATGGCAGTCTTGCCAGGATAAGACCTCCCTTCTTTGTTGGGGGGGCACAGCGGCCACCTTGCTGTGTTTTGACCCACCTTTGCAGATAGCTCGAAGTCTGGAGGCTCAATTGTACAATGAATGGGTTAAGGCAGTGATCCCCAACCTTTTTTATGCCACGGCCCGGTATCCCCAACCTTTTTTATGGCGCGGCCCGGTACCGTCATCAGCTGGGCGCCGCCATCTTTTTTTGATGAAAAAGTGCTTCCGGTGAGCTTTCTACCCGGAAAAGCTCACCGGAAGCACTTTTTCATCAAAAAAAGATGGCGGCGCCCAGCAAGCCAGCGGCCCAGTAGGACTTGTTCCACGGACCGGTACCGGTCTGCGGACCGGTGGTTGGGGACCCCTGGGTTAAGGAACTAAGGTAAGTCTCTAGGCTGGGAGTCTTCAAACTTGACAGCTTTAAGACTTGTGGACTTCAACTCCCAGAATTCCTCCTCCAGTCATGTTAGCTCAGGAATTCTGGGAGTTGGAAGTCCACTAGTCTTAAAGCTGTGAAGTTTGAAGACCCTTGATCTATTCTATCTATCTATCTATTCTACCTCTCTATCTCTTCTACCTCTCTTTATCTATTCTATCTATCTCTCTTTCTTTCTCTCTATTCCAGGGGTCATCAAACTTGACAGCTTTAATACTTGTGGACTTCAACTCCAAGAATTCCTCTTCCAGTCATGTTAGCTCAGAAATTTTGGGAGTTGAAGTCAACCAGTCTTAAACTTGCCAAATTTGAAGACCCTTGCACGGCTATTGAAGAGAAGGCTTAGGGATAGAACAATAGCGTCTTCCAATACTTGAAGGGCTGTCATAGGGAAGAGAGCATTAATGTATTCTCCATAGGCCCTGAGCAATGGGTAGAAACTCATTAGAAGGAGACCCAACCTAGGACTAAGGAGGGATTTCCTGACAGTGAAAACAATCAGAGGAACAGCTTGCCTATTGGAGTTGTGGCTGTCCCATCCATGGAGGTTTTCAAGAAGAGATTGGACGACTATTTGTCTGGGAAAGTAGGACTCCTTGCCTTGGACAGGGGTTGGACTAGAAGACCTCCAGGGTCCCCTCCAGCCCTATAAACAGGAATCAATCTGAACCTCAGAGTGAACAAGTACTAAATTGCACAAATGTAGTTTTCAAGAAGAGATTGGACAGCCATTGGTCCTGGATGGGTATAAGGACTCCTGTCATGGGCTAGACTAGAGGACCTCCAAGGTCCCCTCCAACCTTAGGATGAAGAGACATTTGAACAAGTACTAAACTGCCTCAGTGGAGGCTTTTGTGAAGAGACTGGACAGCCATTTGCCCTGGATGGTAGGACTCCTGCCTTGGACAGGGGTTGGACTAGAAGACCTCCAGGGTTCCCTCCAGCCCTACAATCAGGAGTCATTTGAACCATAGAGTGAACAAGTACTAAATTGCCTCAGTTGAGGCTTTTGTGAAGAGGTCGGACAGCCATTTGCCCTGGATTGGTATAGGGTCTTCTGCCTTGGGCAGGGAGGGCAAGACTAGAGGACCTCCAGGGTGCCCCTCCAGCCCTGAGGATGGCGATGCTCGGAAAGGGGAAGGGGGAAAGGCCGGGCCAAAAGCGCAGGGACTGCGTTCAACCGAAAGGGAGTCCCCTCCCCTTGCCCCTCGGGGCCGAGCGAGCCTCCTCTGCGCCTGACTGGGAGGAGAAGCAGCGCCGTGAGGGGGTTGCTGCGCCTCCTTTCCTCCCCCCCACCCACCCACCACCACCAGCGACCCTCCGCCAGGTTCGGGGCTTCTCCCTCGCCTTCCTCCCGAAATTCCCCGGCTACACTCACCCTCCGCTCTAGACCGCAGCTCCGACACGGTCTTCTGAACGGCGGGCATCTCTCTCGCTCGCCTCAGGAGCCTCGGCTGGCGCGGTCCCCCTCACAGGGCTGAGGCGCTCTCTTTCTCGCGCGTACGCATGCGCGCGCTCCCTTTTCTCGCCGTTGCCGGTGGTGTTGGTGGGGAGCGAGCGCTCTCTCTCTCTCCGCCAACTCTCCTTCCCTCCCTCCTTTCTCTTTCCAGAGGGAGACCCCCCGCGGCTGCGGTCTCGAGACAAACCCCCCCCGCCGCCCCCTCCTAATCTATCGGACACCTGCGCCTGCGCGCCCAGCAGCGAACGAGCGCGCGCTTCTGGCTCGCGTACTACTCCTTCCCTCCCCTCCAAACTGGAATGCACCAACTGGGGGATGAGGTGGGATCCTTTTCGAACGGCCTTTGGGGCGCGCGCATGGTAGGACAAAGAGACGCGCTTGCCCTTCGCGCCGCCTGTGTGTATGTGTGTCCTTCTTTCTTCCACCACCACCCCTCACCCCACCCCAACCCGTCAAAGCCGACCGAATACCCCTGAGCTTTCAAGGATCGATAATGAAACAGGCCAGACTTGAGGCGAGGCGGAGCCTGGCAAGAAAAGGGGGCGGGGCAGAGAGTATAAAAAGCCGGATTGCGCGGCATCAACCGGCATTTGTTGACTTGAAGGTGGGGTGGAATTTTAGGGTGGCAGGGAGCCAAACTTCAAATTTGCGTGTGTGCTTTGGGTAAACTTGTGTATTTGCTTCGTCATGAATGCGCACACACCCTTTTAAGGTATAAAACCTTTAGGTCTTTTTGCATCCTATAAGGATCTGATAGAGCCTGGATGGGAGACTACCAGGAAATCCCAAGGCTCAACCAGGGAACCAGACCTCGACTATGTATCAGAATGATCAAACAAATGGCAACTTCAGATCTCAACAAATAAATGCTCTGTCTTACATATTGGCAAAAAAATCAGAAAATAAAATACAAGCTGAATAGTCAAGACCTTGTTGATGATCCAAACTGAGTCAAGGACCTTGGAGTACTGATGTCTAATTATCTAAGTGCTAGAGCCCACTGTAACTTCATTGCCAAAAAGGCATTAAGAGTTGTTAACCTAATCCTGCATAGCTTTTTCTCTGGTAATATCACACTAGAGCATACAAAACATTTGCTAGACCAGTACTTGAATACAGCTCATCAGTCTGGAACCCGCATTACGTATCTGATATTAATACAGTGGAGAAAGTCCAGAAATATTTCACACGAAGAGTTCTCCACTCCTCTACTCGTTGCAGAATACCTTATGCCACCAGACTTGAAATTCTAGACCTAGAAAACCTAGAACTACACCGCCTTCGATCCGATCTAAGTATAGTATATAAAATCATACATTGCAATGTCCTACCTGTCAATGAATACTTCAGCTTCAACCATAACAATACAAGAGCACACAATAGATACAAACTCAAAGTTAACCTGACTCTGTGGTTTCTTCCCCAAACCCCAAAAAATTTAACCTTAGACTGTCTACTATTGACTTCACCCCTTTCTTAAGAGGTCTGCATGAGTGCACCAATGTGCCTACTGTCCCTGTCCTATTGTTTATTTTTTATTTTTCTTATATGTATCCATTTCCTGTATTCATAACTGTTTATACTTACACCTGTTATCTTATAATCGCTTGACAAAATAAATAAAATAAAAATAAAAATAAATAAATTGTGTCTGCTTGCAAAGTGCTGCAGGCATTTACATTATTGGAAATGAAAAGGAATCTTTGCAGCCTTCTTTATCTTTCCAACATAATATAAGAGCTGTCTGCAACAATGAAGCAATGGTTTGATTCTGGGCAGTTTAAATGTTTATGTATGTATGTATGTATGTATGTATGTATGTATGTATGTATGGTATTCAGCTTTGTTCGGGTATTTCCCCACGTCATTGTAGTTGTGCTTTTAAAATTGTAGCGACGTTTCAGCAGAATCTCATCTGCCATCATCAGGCTTGTGTACTGGGTTCTTTTGTGTGTCAGGCTTTCACAGCCATTTCTGTTTTAAATTTGGTGCTAGCCTCGTGCTTCGTTATAAGAAAACATAAACACACACACATAAACGTACTGTAATTGTCCTATGACAACTGAGCAGTAGTTGAACATGGTTACTCTGTTCTGCAGGACATGAAGTATAGCTAATGAAGTCCTGTCACATACAGTGATATTAATGGTTATTTATAAATATTTGTTATTTGTAAAGATAAAGGCAGGAGATAGATACATGGTAGATAATTGATATAGATAAGAGGTAGATAAGATCAATAGATGAGCGATTGACAGGGAAAGAGATACAGATAAACACACATGATGGATAATTGATATAGATAAGAGATAGGTAGATACAGATCAATAGATGAGAGATTGGTAGGTAGATACCAGAGATAGGGATGTATAGATAGATTGATAGATAGGTAGATAGTGGTAGGTAGATAGAGGTAGGTAGATAGAGATAGATAGATAGATAGATAGATAGATAGATAGATAGATAGATAGATAGAT